TCTCTTGTTTTTGAACTTTTTTTCGGCGGATTTTGTGGATTTTCTTGCGGATTTGTTTTGATTTTTGGTTCCCGACGTTTCAAAAAAAAAAAAAAATACCAAATCAATCGAGCCGTTCCCAAGTGATGTCTTTACCAACGAACAATATTTTATTATATGAACATAGATATATTAAGATTTAGTTTAAAACAATATGTTCTATAAAAGAGATTCCCTTACCCTAGTGCCGACAGCGGGAGCGACGATGCCGGGCCAGGTGGTGATGAACTGGGGGGCTGCAGCCGCCAGCGCAACGCAACACAGGAAGAAGAACACCTAGAAGATTTAATAACATTCGATAAGTATTACTTTATTACAGACTAGCGACTTTTCCTCACCTGGCCTGGATCTGTAAACTTAATTTCATTAAAATTTATCCAGCTATTTTAATATGAAGAAGTAACCAATGTATGAACATTTAGATACAACTTTCGCTTTTATAATAGTAGTCAGACTAGTTTTTGCTCACGACTCCGCCTGCGTGACAACCAATTATTAAGTATTGCTTACTACAAGTAGGTACAAACCAATCTGATATAATGTAAGTACCATAATGTGTTAGGTACGTGTTTTATTATGCCTATCGCTTGCGTTAAACTATCGTCCAATAAAAACTTGTAGTAAGTGTGAGTATGTAAAACATAACGTAGGTTTGCCCGTATTAGGCTAAATAGGTCGAATAGCAATAACTGCTCTATGCAGTATTTTAAAATTGACCATTTAGACAAGTTGGATATGAAAACCTGTTACAGTTCAAAAAAACGTTCAGCAGGCATGAAAATTAAATGTTGCAAAAACAACTATGACACTTGACTGAAATTGAGTGAAAAATCTTTAAAAAATCAATTACTAGAACAATTAATTAATATACCTCTATCTAATTATATGTCGAGAAAGTACAATTGCAATTTTATCTCTTTTAAGAAGGTATTTGAATTTTTAGATAAATAAAAGAAAAAATAAAACTAATAATCTAGCATATTGTTAAAAACTGTAGCGTTCTAATATGTAAAGAATGCAATCACAATTATTACATAATTATATATACTATTCTTTATTGCACTTATATGTAACATACAGAGAGTAACAAACAATAAAATTAGTTAGCAAAGGTGGTTTATATTTAATAATATAATTTAAAAATATTAGTACATAAATGCAATTTAAAAAATTGATAACAATATTAAAAGAAATACGTACGAAGAATTTCATTTTGATGGCAATGAAGATGTTGGATGGTATCTCACTAGAACTGCTCAAGAGCCTTCTGAGTGCAAACTATGCTGATCTACGGAAGACAGACGCATTATATAGGGCTATAGAAGGTCGCCAACCAGTCCTATAGGTACCCTAAGCCTAGCACCTCCTAAGGTCACAACTGATCTGAATGGCTAATGAAAATACCTGTCTTCAAGAAAAAAATATTCGTACCGGCCTATCCGATACAGATATGGTATCAATAATAATTTATTAGATCAGCTATGACTGTGGCAGGTTCAACATCTGTTGGAATTTACACAGTTTCGTCCGTATGATATAGTAATTTCCTTTCAAGGGATGTAATATGCACCTAATAGATCAAATTTTATATAAAAAATGATATTTGTTAGGACTATTAATGAAAACCTAGGAAATTACTTACTAATATAGAATCATACGCACATTTACATGGTTATAAAACTAGGGTTTTATTAGTACGGAATATAATTACGAGTATTTAATTTTTGCATAAACTCATGTTACATAAGTTGTAGTTATGGATGATTTATAAGCGGTGTAAAAAGAACCAATTATTATTACTATTCTTTATTGCACTTAAAAATCAATACAGTAATTTAAAAATAATTATTGTATGCAAAGGTGGACTTATCTCTAGAAGAGATCTCTTCCAGCCAACCTATGGTAGTGAGAAATAGTGTTATAAAGCAGGCTAAATTCGATAAATTCGAATTCGATAAATAATGATTATTATGCCGTTACATAGTACCCATAATCAGAGAAGAATGGACAGTGTGAGCACTGAGCATCTGCTTGGTAGTAGATGGGGAATTAAATGGTGTTATGCAAAAATTATCCTCAATCAAAACTCTTTCTTCTCTTTCGCCCAGACACGAGAATTTAGCCAGCTTTCAACGTTCGGAACTGGTGTCTATATACTATAAATATATACATATGAGGTTCAAGATTCATTTATTTCTCAAAAGAATACAATTCACTTACTGAGAAACATAAGTTCTACGTAGGTAACATTGTAAATGGGCAGGTAATATTTATATAAAATAAAATACATATAATAAAATTGTAACTAAGCCGAATTTATACATTAAATATTTTTTGGAAAATCTTATTGAAATAAACATTATTATCGATACAGAGGCCGAATCGATAGTTTTTAGAATTTTTATCTGTCTGTCTGTCTGTCTATCTGTTACCGCATCACAGAACCACTGGAGGGACTTTGATGAAATTTGGTATGGTGATAGCTGGTTATCCGGGTTAACATATGGGATACTTTTTACCGCGGGAAAATATCTCATTTCTGAGAAAAAATACAAAAACTGCAATGTAAGAGTATACTAATACTTATGTAAAACCTAAGAATTTGGTTTTTGGTCATCTGAACGCGGGCCGAGCCGCGGGCAATGCTAGTTCATTATATATTTCTAAGTTACAATTAATTTTGAATCTGTTAAGTAAATCAAAATGTACAGTTTAAGTGAATCTATGTAGACCAATGTAATAAAGGGCACCAGAAATAAATGTATGCACAAACGAATCCACAGGACTAAACTTAGGATTCAGTGATTTATAATGACTATAAAAATAATGATTTTGTTTTGCACTCGTTATAGCTAAGTTTCACATTGACATGATTTTCTTTGTTTATGTGTTACTCATTTGAAACTAGATTAAACTGTAGGCGTTCTTTATCTGATTAACATACCTAACCTGCCCATATTATAACTGTTTACGATCAAACGCGAGAATAAATATTTTCCTTTTGTACGTAAAGAATGGAATTTTAATTTATTATTACTTTTTATAGTTAAAGAATTCTCACATATGACAAATTTTTTTTATTGTTATTATTTTTTAGTCTTCACATATCTAAAATCATTACAAAAATGGTTCAAATCCATAATGAAAAGTATTAACATTTAAATCCTATAATAAAAAATATTTTTTCTGAACCAAATACTAAGCAAAAATATGATAAACTGAATGGCACTAAAATAAAACTCTAAGAAAATATGTGAAATTCTACTTTTATTTTGGTATACAAAATAATCATTTAAGATTTTTTCATTTTATTTCAAACAATAATTAGATACATGCAATATCTAAATAACTAAATCAAAACTACACGAGAAAGTTTTTACGCAACTACTTAAATAAAGTGCTGATGTAACGAAATTTCGACCTTAATTTACTCTAAGATAAAGTATAGGTCAATAATGTGCATAGATTAATTAGATAAGATTTATGCAATAGGAAAATTAACAAGGTAAAAAAAACATAGACTAACACTTTAATAAATTACTTTTTGTTATTCTTGAAATAATCGTAATGGAAAAAAGTGTGTGTTTACTTATGTACGCAGGTAAGAAGTTATACTCCTTTGGCGTAACAGAACAAAAATAGCTAAAGATTAATAATTCATCCCGTATGTCACAACTGTCTGTTTGTAAAAGGAATGCAGCTAACTTCATCATATTGCTTTTTGGCCGTCAGTGTGCGCGCGTATCGTAAAAATTTTACTATATATTTTACTATAACTTCGAAAAATGCATGATTTTTAAAAGACATTGCTTAATATTTACTTTCTTGTTACTTTACCGTTGCTTTGATAATATAATTAGCATATATGTACATATTTAAAAATATGATATGATTTTCAACATGATTACCACTTTGCCTTACAGTAAAGGAAAGCATCGTGAGGAAACCTGCATGCCTGAGAGAACCTAGCAAGTTTTCGCAAGACACGTGAAGTCCGCCAACCCGCACTTGGCCAGCGTGGTGAACTATGGCCAGATTCCTCTCGTATTGAAGGGAGGCCCGTGCCCAGCAGTAGGACGTTAAAAAGTTAAAAAGTTGAATACGTATTTAGAAACTGCAAAAGCATTAAAATATTGTTTTTCAATGGTTTTAGGAGTTCTAAAATAAACAACTGAGAATTTCTAATTCAGAAAGTTATTGTTATTTCACTTCCGGATATCATGAGAAAGAGAGAGAAACGACCTCTTCGTTTCTTTAACTGACGTTTAAGGTATGCATGGTTTTCGAAATCATGTCGCATTTTGTCTGCACTCGATTCTCTCAGCTCCAAGGTGTCAGCGCGATATACCTTTTTTTTTTTAACGTTGGGAAATGCATTTACGCACGACGTGTGGGACTCACCGGCGTAATACAGCCAGTACTACCCACTAAAACCCAACAAAACCTTCCCCCGTCTTAATGGGGCGTCGCAGGATCGCTTACGCATTCAACTACGACGCCCCGACAGCAGGTCTGCCGAAGCAGACCACCACAACCATGGGGTTGCTCCACAGTCCACTCTGCTATCAAAGAAGTACCAGGAGCAACCCGCATGGTACACCGCCCCCCGAAGAGGGCCACCTCCCAGCGCCCACCGAAGTGGGCAACCTCCCTGTGCGTTTCTTAGCTTCGCTACTGCTACTGAGCCCCCCCCACCACGACAAGGTGAACGCACGTTGGGGGGGAGCGCGATATACCTACCGCGTTCTCTATTCACCAAAAAGCGTGAACGATAACTAAACTAAATTAAAATGTAAAGCTAATTGAACCTTATATGGTTAACTTATGGGTTGTTTTTCAGTAACAAGTCGCATGTGTTCATCTGCACAGTGGACACAACTCCGATACGATTAACCGAGGTATCTATCAAAAGCCTTCTCTATGAAAATAAAATCTAAAGCAACTTGATGCTTACATGATTAACTTGTGAGTTGTTTTTCAGTATCAAGTCGCATATGTTCGTCTGCGCCCGACTCTCTTGGCTCCAAGGCCTCGGCGCGATACACCGCATTCTCTATCCACACCGCGATACGATCCGATATAGCTACCATGAACCTGGCGAGGCGGCCGGGATGCGTGCGGGAGGGTTTAGGTTCCCCTAATACATATTTTACAATTAAATATAATAAGTTAAGTTACTTAATGCTTACCTTACCTATATGCCATAAAATATTTTTTAATATTAATATAATATGAATTAAATAGATTATTTCATTATTGCGATATTGACGGTTATGACGAGAAAAGAGCATCCCACCAAAAACATTTTCATGTAAAATATTGCCAAGACAAGAGCATATGCCTCGCACTGTCAAAAAGGTATTAGATCTCATATAGAGCCAAGCTTCTAACTCTGCACGCCCTAACTCCACAAACTCTACACCTTTGTCAAAATATGTAACTTGGCCGTATCGTTAGTACAAAAACTATTGTGTAACAAAAAAGTAATGAACAGTGAATAAATTTTTCACCTTACGCCCATGTGACGGCAGCGAACCGTTTCTGTTGTCCCCAGATTTTTCATTAAAATCTTCGACAGTAGAATATTAAATATAAGATACCAATATGTAAGCTAAGTTAAAACAAATAAAGCTAACAGATGGCTATTTCTTTTCCTAAATAGAATAACTAAGCTTTACTTTTATAAAACACATTACATGACGGTAACATACCTAGTATTTCGGATACTCTCTCCAAAACCACATCCGCTATACTTCTCAATCTATTGGAAACCAACATCTCTTTTTGTCCTTTTGCAATATAGTCGCAGAGACGGTATGCCACCTTTAAATGTATTAGTTTATTACCATAATTGATTATTTCTCCAAAATTACTTGCCAGTTAATATGTATTAAAAAAATATTTTTAACATTGCCCATCGCCCTCGTATACCTTCGCATGTAACAACGGTGAAAAAGGTACATCGAATTCTAAATCACGTAAAAGAATGCCATGCCATCCCTTGGGGGAGTTGGGCTTATTTTAAAGAGATTACCATACTAGGTAGTTATAAAGAGACTGATGGACAGAAAAAACGAAGTTCACTTTGATATCATACAAATAACATTAGAGGTCAATAAGCGCTCTTTCATTAGCACTTGACAGCGCCTACCACATGTATTACCTACCGATATGGATCTTCTAAGCTTAATCAAGCACAGCTCAACATTATTTGTAGTTTTTCTCATTGTATGGGCTAGTGTACGAACTAAATAACAGTTTATATTATTACTAGCGACTCACCCTCGCTGCGCTTCGGGGTCGTCCCTAGACAAAAACAAGTCTATCCCACGGGAATCGTATATTTTTCCGGGATAAAAAGTAACCTATTTGCTATTCCAGATCATAATCTATCTCTGTGCCTAATTTCATGTGAAGTACCAATCATTCATCCATCCTCACAAACTTTCACATTTATAATATTAGTATGAAAATAGTGACGTACATGACTTATGTACGTAAAATATAAATAAGACATCTCAAAATTGCTTTTCTCATACCGAATATGAAAGTAGACAAAGTGTTATTAAAATTAAATATGCCTTGTACCTAAAAACACAATATTCGCCATATTATTTGTCAAAATATATGCATTTTATTTGTCAAAATCCAAGCAATATAATTAATTTAGAAAATTAAATAGTTATTACATTACAACATTACCTTCTTCATTATGTTTTATAGAATAATAAACAAAACAAGAATACTGAACTACTTAGTTGTTGTTACTAAGATATAGGTACCTACATATATTTGCTTTATATATATGTTACTAGCAGAACCCGCGGCTTCGCTCGCGCTAATGCTACATAAAAAATCTTTGAAATGGTAGGTTTCATATAAACTTTTATGCCCTATTTTTTTACTCTCATATTGGAAGAATTACAAATAATGCTGAAACACGTATTTATTTAATTGTATTAAAGAGCATTAATACTAAGTTAGTTAGCTGGAGAGCGACATAGTAGCCTATGTCACTCTCCAGCCCTCCAACTATCTCTACACAAAATATCACGTCAGCCCGTCACTCCGTTTCGACGTGAAAGAAGGACAGACATACAAACAAACACACTTTCACATTTATAATATTAGTATGGATTTATTACATTATTAAATATGCATGTACTATAGCAAAACAATCTTGAATAACCTTTCAATAACAGTTGTTTATGTATAATTTAACTTTTCCTGCAAGACTGTACATAAAACAAGGCTAGCAGAACTTATTAAACTGGAGCACATAGAATATTAAAATTTTGTTACAATGTAACATCGACCGGTTTATTGTATGCATGTAATAAATAGATTATCTATTCACAATCAATATACACATCGATTGCAAAGTCATTAAAGACGCAAAAAGTTTGGATAATTTTTTTTTATATAATAGGTATGTAGAAAAAAATTATATTAATTGTATCACCTGAGCACTAAAATTAACAAGCCACTTTTGCCTCTGTCGAAGTTCCCTGGACCGATCTGCATGCTCCCTGCGGCTTAGCATCCCGCCGGGACCAGACCAACGCCTGGAAGACTCGCCCAATGCTTGAAAATACTGTTCAGTTTGCCTGTACGATAATATTAAATATATCCAATAATATTATAAACGCGAAAATTTGTAAGTATGCATGGATGTATTTTTGTTACTCCTTCACGCAAAAACCACTGAATGGATTTTGATGAAACTTTGCAATAATATTGCTCATACATCAGAATAACACATAGGTTACTTTTTATCCCGGAAAAATGTACGGTTCTCGTGAGATAGATTATTAGTACTAAACTGCACTCTGATAAAATCTTACTCCGGACTAAGAAAATAGTCTTCTTCTAAAGCACTTTTAATTTTATCTCTCCGATCCCGTGGCATTAATGCGCCTTTCTCATCCCACAACGATTGCAAGCGCCTAGCAGTGGGTCGCGCCAGCATTTCCACTCTTTCCATATTGCGTGCGCTTGCACGATCTTTCTTTTTTTTCTCCTTTGTCGCCTTGGACGGTGAAGCTGATAAACATAATTTCTCAGTAAAAATCATAATGTATTAAATAAAATCATCTTTCCGGATTTTCTCTACCGTCGCGGAGATCTCTCCTGTGACTACTGACTTTTGTATTTGTCAAAATAACTCCGCGAAAAAACGCGAAAAGATAGTTTTATTAAAAATGTCAAATAATCACGTACATGAATCTAAGAATATATTAAATAATAATAAGTAGGTGTAATTAAAATCATTAGAGCCTCTGCACAGATAGAGCTGGTCGTCGATGTAATAATAAACATGAATTACTTACTCTCTCTACGCTCAGATGTTACCCCAGATCATAGTCTATCTGTGTACACCGTGTAATCCGTTCAACTGTTTATCGTAAACGAGTATCAAAAATACACACTCATACAAACTATCATAATAAGGCTCCGTTTGTAGTGATCCTAATTGCTGTGTCAGCGGTCGCGGGTTCGAATCTGGCTTGGGGCATTCATTTGTGTGATAAGCACGAATGTTTGTTCTCCAGTCATGGCTGTTTATATCTATTATATGTATGTATTTAAAGTTATATATGTGTAGTGTATCGACTATCTGGTATCCATAACACAAGCCTAGTAGCTTGGAAGTAGATGGTGCTATGTGTTAATATCCCAACATATTTATATTTAATAATAGTAACCCAATAATAATAGGATTAACCATAAAAATAAATCTCACCGGGACTATCTTTTAACACTTTAACATTCTTCTCTGACTTCGACCCAAGACTTGACTTGGACGGACTATCTGATTTTGATTCCGATACCGACTCCTCCCCTTTGCTTGGTTTTTTATTCTTCGGCATTATTTATTTGTATTACACTTATAATTTGAAAAATTATGAACCTGTTTGGAAAATGACTTGTGACGTTTATTTAACATACTTTTTAATTGGAGTGTATGTATTTTGTATATTCAACCTTATACTATACCATAGCAAAATCTAGTTGGCCTTTAAAAATGTGTCCTTATGTCTTCCTTATGTCTAAAGTATAATCAATGATCAAAATATAAATCCCGGTATGACCATTTTAATTTTATTACGTAATTAATAAGTATACTTCAAATAAAATGATGCACGATATCTTTATAGTAGGTATTTAAAGTTATATGACACTTCTGTGTCGACACACGTTTTGTGAATGCGAATGCGATTCCCAAGAAGTTTACTACACATTCAATACTTTATTAAAAACTAGCGACTCTCCGCCAATACAAACTTTCATACCCATTTTAGGCCCCTTAAGGGATAATTTCCAGAATAAATATCCTATGACCTTCCCAGGGTCCCAAACTATCTGCTTACCAAATTTCATCTAAATCGGTCCAGTAATTTTTGAGTTCATTCGTTACAAACATACAAAAATACAAATCTCTCCTCATTATATTAGTAAGTGTAGATCAATAAATTTCTAACATACAACAATTAACGTTATAACATAAAAATCATTAAAATATAATGTTAACACTTAGGAAAAAATGAAACAAATTCTTTAACAAAACCCGACTGTTTACTTGTTTACTATAAATATACATTGTATATTTTTACAATAATATTGTCATTCGCCTTAAATATCATAAACGTAAAATAAAAGCTAGCTAGATTTCAAACAGAGCCAACTTGCACAGTCGTGGACACCATCAGAGACTTGACCTGAAGTAGAGGCGTTCTCCGCGAGGTATGGAAGATGCCAACCGTTACTACTTTGTTGTGCGAGAGGTGTAAATTTTAAAGGAGCCTGAAATGATAAAAAGAATTGATATATTTATTATAATATTATTTATATTAGAAAAAAAACGTGTTGTGTACTTATGTACGCACGTAAAAAGTTATACTTCTTTGGCGTAACAGAACAAAAATAGCTAAAGATTTCATCCCGTCACAACTCTCTGTAAAAAGAATGCAGCTAACTTCATCATGTCACTTTTTGGATGTCGATGTGCGCGCGCATCGTAAAAATTTTACTCTCATAATTTTTTACAAACGTGCCAAAAGAAGTATAACTTCAAAAATGTATTTTTATGAACATTGTTTATAAATTGTATACTCAAATGACCAATATTAAAGCTAATCTCTGTACAATCAATCAATTAATTGTTGTTCTATCTCAATTTGGCGTGAGGGTAAACTTTTCAAAGTCAAGTTGCAGAAAAAATACCCATCAAAAATCCCATCGAAGAACCCTTAGGGCTGATTTTTTTCTTGTAATTTATACATAGGTATATGCCCACGTTTTAAATATATTCTTTTCTTTGAAAAAGAACCATAAAATTTTATTCACCAGATTCACAAAAAAAAACAAAATATCCAAATACAAGAACAAATTAAAGATAGCATTGATTGTAAAAGTAATTTACAAAATAGGAATTGGATTTTAGACGTTTAGGAATATTGTAAGTTATCATTATCCAACTTTAGAAAACTAGTTATGAATTCAATATCTCATACATAAATCGTAATAAGTAATCGATTTGCAAATTGGCTTATCAATATAACTTGAAACCACAAATCAATAAATACAATGCGCATCATAATAAAACGTGACATGACCACATTAACATTCAATAAAATGTAGTTATATTTATTCACAAACAATCTCTTAACTCGGATATTCTTGTTACACCCATTAATTACCATGTTACTATTATATAGATAAAATTAGTTATATAAATCAACTAAACCAGTAAACAAAGAAAAGCAAATAAGCACAAAAAAATAAAACTAAACAAAATATGAAAATAGCGCCCGAAATGCCGTAAGTGTAGCTTTAAAAATGATTTTATTCTGAATCACATTCCCCACATACCTACTGGTACCCCAGAGACGGCAAGTGTAGGAGAGGTAGTCAAAAAAGGTGGGGGGACGATTTACGTGAAACACTAGGTCCCATTTGGACAAGAGTGGCTCTAGAAACTGATAGATCTGAGTAGCGAAAGTTAAAGGAGACTTTTGTCTTGTCTTTTTACCAAGTAATATTTTAACTATTATTGATTAGAATATTTAGTTAACAAAATCGTATTTAGCTTTACTTACAATTATTCTACAATTAGGTATTCATTTTATATTTATATTATGTTTTCATTCTTTATTAGTTAATAAATATAGACTTCATTACTACCTGAATAATAGGTTTATATTTGGGCACAAACACCATCCACTGATGCTGCCACTGCCATCTTTGGAACACTCTTTGCAGTTTATCTTGTTGCAGTAAGAACCTATGCCCTCTGAGTAGATCTCTGGATACAATATCTGTATTTGACCCGCTCAGTATAGCAGCTGTTATAAAGTATGGATCATCTTGGGAGCTGAAATTAAGAAAATTTCTTATAAGAAGAACTTAAAATTATTAAAAAATAATGGATATTATGTTTGAGGACTTTTCCGATAAAGAAAAAAGGGAATTTATTACTTCAACATTAAATTGCTGCAGCACTAAAGGATAAGAAGGGTATTCTAGCAAATATTAGTAATGTGAGAAAATATTTTAAATGTAAACTAAATGTCAATTAATTATCTCCAACAATTAAATATATTATCAGCCTTACATATCATCAATGAAGAAATTCTCTGTCTTTTTCATTATATTTAACAATGCACCTCTCTGCCACCTTAACATGTGTTTTCTACCAAGTAATAATAATTTCTTATTTTGTGAATTAAAATAGTCTACAACATAATTTAACACTCTTATTCTATGATAAGGCTCCCCCACAGTAAATGCAATATTTAATGCATCTAACACAATATCATATGGTGCAGTCTTCTCCATGAAATCTAAAAATCTTTTCAATTCTTCTGGGGAGGATTTTAATAACAAATCAGATCCAACAATCAACTTTTCTTTAACATTATTTTGTAATATACTAAATTCTTCTTCTGTCAGTTTCAGACAATCTAATGCTTTGTTACACCCTGTGCATTCACCACTGAAATAAAACAAAATCGTTTTTAAAATTTCAAACATAATATGTTTAATTAAGCTAAACTATTATGTTTAGTTTAATTAAATACATATCAAAAAGAATTAAAGATAAATTGTTTTTATTACCTATGTTTTTGAACTGCTGCAAATTTTGCATGCCAATTTAAAATCTCAAATGATTCTTTTAGTCTTTGTGCTGTGACAGCAGACACAATTGCACAATTATCTGATATATGAAAACAAATCTCATTTAAATATTTTGCCAAAAATTTTTTATCTTTGTATTTCCTCAAAATATATTTAATCCATTCATTATATGCATAATCTTGTAGAGGCCTCCTATTATTCACACTCCTATCTATTATAATGAAAGCTTCAGCTTTTCTATTGTTCCGGAATAATGTGCCTATTAATGTGCTAAATGCCGAGTGACTAGGTGTTCCACTTAAATGAAAATCATCTAACATTTTCATACACTTTCTCCATTCATTTATAGAGCATAGAGCATGTAAAAGCTTCTCATTTGTGGAATAATCTAATATTTTATACTTGTCATACAGATATTTATATGAATTCAAAATAAAATCTCTTTCATTTTCAGTCAAAGCATTCTCTTTAGCATACTCATAATAAAAATGTAGCAAACCGTTAATAACACCTAATGATAACTCTTCATTCGAAGATCTTAAATGATTTGCAAATGACAAAGCAGCATCAAATTTCTTTGTAGTAACCAAAATTTTTAATATAACAGCATCAATATTCTTCTGATTTATAGAACCTGGCTTGTTTAAAACACTACTTTTCAAATCGTTCCATGCATTGTTAGAATTTCCAAGTTCTGTCTTCAAAAAATCAATTTGTGCAGTTTTATTCACTGTAGTTTTACTAACTGCGACTTGACTTAAATATCTCGCAGTTTTTGTAAAACCTAGAGGACCAACAAATTAACATTTAAGTAAGATAAGTGCAATCATACTATTTAAAAAAACTAAATATAAATTTCGAGACTTACAAATATTTCTTGTCATGAATCCTTTGTAAGTCCAAATAAAATGCTTTTTAATAACACTCATGATTGCCATTTTTTTAAAAACAAGCACACTTGTAATTCCTAAAGAAAACTTTTTCAAACATTATAAACTTGTGATATATTTTTTTATTAAATAAAAAAAATAGTCTTAAAAGTCATTGATTTCAATTCAGTAAGCCTAATTAATGTAAATTGAACTCTGCGTTGTATAATGGTTTCGATTTGTAATAAGCACATAAATTCAATTGTAAATTGTATTTAATAATATTTAAATTTCGAGGTTATCTTAAAAAGACGACAAATAACAAATAAATTGTCAAATGTCAAACTCAATGAGAAAGATTTCTTGAAAGGAGGGCGCTGCACGTATGATATTTACATTCAGGCATGATAATTATTTACATTCAGGCTGAACTACATTTAGTGTAAGGTTAGGCAATTTCTGGTAATATCTCTTTTGTACCTGTTTTTTGCTTCTATTGTGTTAGCATCTTACCTGTGCAATGTATTGTACATGAAAATTAGACCAACTGAAGGAAGAATTGAGTAGGTGAGGTGCATCCTGCGGTGGTCCTGACAGACTAAATCGCTGGTAGTAGAAACGAGAAATTTAGAGGACGTATATTTTCATATGATGAAGGCAACTGATAAGAAAGGATTTTTCGAAATTCATTCCCTAGGTGGGTAAAATAGAGGTTTACAGATTGTATGAAATTGTGTCATTCTTAATGTGAAATACACAGAAAATAAAGTTTGGCTTTAAGATAAAAAATAAGAAATATATTTATTCATATTTTTAAAATTCATCTATTAAAAGGGTAAAGGGGGTAATAAAATTTATATGGGCAGAGAATTATTTATGATCAGAATTACTTGAAACTTGGTATTAATGCTCTTCAATACAATTAATTAAATACGGTTTCAGCGTTTTTCGAAATTCAATCCCAAAAGGGAGTAAAATGGAGGATGACAGTTTGTATAAAACTCTGTAATTAATATGTAAAAAAGAACGAAAAAAATAAAAAACATAGTCACCTGTTGGTTATTAAATATTTATTAATCATCATAAACTTTATAGTCGATTTTGCCTCTTCGGCTTGTGCAAATCGGCAGATTATTGAATTGGACACTTTTCAGGATGTGACTAGCCTACCACACCTTAATCTGACGGTTTCAAGTATTTCTACCTTATCAAAACATTTTTTAAATATTTTAATCGGCTTCCCTAGACGCGCCCCTTAATATAGAAGACTTATATTATGGTGAAAGTACTCAATAGAGTGCAAGGTAACCTCTTTTATGTTAATCTGCCGCACTCGAGTAACTACAGAAAATCCCCTCTTGGGCTCCCCTACTATTAATCTATAGTCTGTGGATTTGTTGTAGATCTCTACTTTTTAGTCTCTCTATAGATAACATCATAGAGTATATTGCTACATATATAAATATAGATATATGGATAGCATAGACCAGGAACAATAATAGATACCTACAGACCGATCGTAAGAAGTCAGTTCGTTGCTATGTTGGTTACCTTGTTAACAGTATTGCCACTATATACATTCGGTTTATTTACATATTAAGGTTGGAAATTCAAATTTTAATACATATCATTTTTATCAACGCAAGTGTGAGCTTAATCATATAAAATGCGAAAAATGATCTAATTATATCAAATAAACTATCTACTAAAGAAAAATCAGGTTAGTACTTAAAATAAAACAAATATTTATGGTTAAATTTATTTTAATCATAAATATATTTTACGATTTGCAGTACGCATGATCAAATGGCTTCTCGAGTAATTCTAGAAACTGTTCTATCAGATATACCTGTAACAGATATTTACGAAAGGTTTACAAATTACAATACATATCAAGAAAATTGCGTAAGCATATTATTAGATTGAAAGTTCATTATTAAAATATAATTTCATATTAATAATAATAATAATCTTTATTCGGTATCTCAAAAATTTAATTTCTATAATGTTATATTGAAAAAACAACGCAGTTAACGGGACTGACTGAATATCTTAATATTATAAAATGTGAGTTTTTTTTACCTGTAAATGAGAAAAATCTTTAAAGCTGGCAACTCTATTTTACTAACCCGTCATCAAGGAACATTTTTACTCTAGGGAGCCCGTCAGTAATGTCAACTTAGCCCTTTTGGGGCTAGATCTAGCCCTTTTTTGGCTTATTCAGCCCTTAAAATGATGATTTAGCCCCTAGCCCTATTTCTAGCCCCGAAACCGTGTAAGAAAACTTTATTCTGGCACACAGTACAAATTTTAAAAAAATCATGCGATACAATGAAAAAGAAATTTAAACATAACAAAGCATTAAATAAACGCACTTAAGCTAATCAGGCAACACACAACGTCACGTCAAGTCAGACTACCTGTCTCTATTCCTCTTACATAAATCGTAGAAACACTGATAGGTGGTAGCACAGACCTAGTATGCGTTTCGCTCGCTTTTCGCTCGCTCACACAGACAGCTGAAGTGTGCGAGCGAAAGGTTTTAATCAGCATTCACTGCCGCGAGTGAAAAAGAGATAGCGACACAAGGTGACAGTGTGCCGTGTTTTTCGCGGCTAAGAGGCCCGATCAGTTTTGTTCAAAATTAGTTTTGTAAATTTTTGTATTAAAATATTCAATTTTATAATTACGAGCCATGGTGTCTTGTTCAGTGTTTAATTGTGATGCAACACATCGCAACAAGGAGATTGAGTTTTAAGGTGTATTTTTAATTAAAAAAGTTGATTTTTTTAATTTTTTGGTTAATATTAAGTAAACGATTATTAAAAAATTACTTATTTTATATAAAAAAACGAACTTTTCCTATTTTAATTTTTTTGGCCAAGTCACGGAGCTTAGAAGGAGATCCTCCGTGGCCAAATCTAGCCCCCATCTAGCCCTTTTTAGAACTCCATTTAGCCCCAAAACCTGACACCGTGTTGGCAACACTGGAGCCCGTCATGGTTATTAGTCAATAGTCAGTGCTGCCAACTTGACCACAAACGGACAAGTTATGATGAACGATCTTTACTGTTGTGTTGGTGTTGAATGTTGATTGAGTGTTGAGTTTGACGAATTTGACAATTATCCGCATCAGACCTCAGTCAAAAATAATTTATGAATTAATATTAAGAATTTAAGAGTACTGTACCCTGAGTAAAAGTGTTCTGCGACTGTACCAGTACCACTTACCTACTTAGTACTGATTATGGACTGTGGGCACGCTTTAAAATTTCTTTGAAATAAATATTATAAAGTTCACAGTCATAAATTGTTAGTCGAAATTATATAAAACTTTGCAAATATGGATGGAAAAACTACAAAAATGCCTAAAGTGGCGAAGGTAAATTTAAACAGAGTGCTTTACTTTCGGAAAATTCTTGTAAATATTTTTATACAATAGTAATAAACTTTGAATATTTTAGGTTAAAAACAAAGCACCAGCTGAAATTCAAATTACAGCTGAGCAACTTCTACGTGAAGCCAAAGAGAGAGACTTGGAAATTCTGCCACCGCCACCGAAACAAAAAATCTCGGATCCAGAAGAACTACGAGACTATCAACATCGTAAAAGGAAAGCGTTTGAAGATAATATCCGCAAAAACAGACTTGTGAGTTGAAAATATTGGGTTCAACTTAATATATTGCTTATTCAATTCAACTGTGATAGTATATATTGAAAACATATATTATGTTAATTTTCTTAAAACACAAAACAATGCTTGCAATATTCACATATTTCAGGTTATTGGAAATTGGCTCAAATATGCTCAATGGGAAGAATCACAAAAACAAGTTCAAAGGGCCCGCTCAATATATGAGAGGGCATTGGATGTGGATCACAGAAATGTTACACTATGGTAAGGTTTAAAAAGTATATTTCTCATATTTTTATGGTCTCCAACCAATAAAACAAGTTTTTTCTTAAATTGAGTAATTATGTTCTTTAATATATATAACACATTGTATTAGAATATATTGTTCAACTCTTATTAAATTTTCTTAACGGTTTGAAAGTGTGCCAGTAAAACACAAATTATTCTGCCTATATCAAGTAAAACGGAGAAGATCCAAAGGGTTATTGTTTGTTTTGTTTGTTATTTCAATTAGAAATGAAACACCTACTTACTAATCTGACATTTTATAATAATATTTTAAATTATTAGCTTTGATTACTGTTTATTCTTCAAAGTTTTAATCATAAATGATTAGAGAAATATTTATTGAAGTAAATAAATCTAAATAAAACCTGATAAAAAATGAATAAATAATTCTTATAATTTTTTTTGAACCAGGCTTAAATATACAGAAATGGAAATGCGCAACCGTCAAGTAAATCATGCTCGTAATTTATGGGACAGAGCAGTAACAATACTACCAAGAGTGTCACAGTTCTGGTACAAATACACTTACATGGAAGAAATGTTGGAGAATATAGCTGGGACAAGACAAGTAAGTTTCACTAAATAACTTCAAAAAAGAGAGGTACCACATCTAATGTTGCTTAAAGTAAAGTAGGTATATTTTATTTCCTTACAAATTAAATTAAAGTTTATATTGTACATTAATAATATTATTATAGCAGTGTTCCAATTTACTATTATATTTAGACTAGATTTTCATACAAATACTCAATAAATAAATTAATATTTTTAGGTTTTTGAAAGATGGATGGAGTGGCAACCTGATGAACAAGCCTGGCAGACTTACATTAATTTTGAGTTACGCTATAAAGAGCTTGATAGAGCTAGAGAGATTTATGAAAGATTTGTTATGGTCCATCCTGACGTAAAACATTGGATTAAATATGCTAAATTTGAAGAGAGCCATGGCTTTATAAATAGTGCCAGAAAAGTATATGAGAGAGCTGTAGAATTCTTTGGAGATGAGGAGTTAGATGAAAGACTATTTATTGCTTTTGCAAAATTTGAAGAAAATCAAAAAGAACATGATAGGGCAAGAGTCATCTATAAATATGCTCTGGATCATATACCTAAAGACAGAAATAAAGAATTATATAAAGCATATACTATACATGAAAAAAAATATGGTGACAGATCAGGCATTGAAGATGTAATTGTAAACAAAAGGAAATATATGTATGAACAGGAAGTTATAGAGAATCCTACAAATTATGATGCATGGTTTGATTATATAAGACTTGTAGAAAATGAAGGGAATGCAGATGATATAAGAGATACATATGAGAGAGCCATTGCTAATGTGCCACCATCCAAAGATAAGCAATTTTGGAGAAGATATATATATTTATGGATTAATTATGCCTTATATGAGGAGTTGGAAGCAGAAGATGTAGATAGGGCAAGACAAGTCTATAAAACATGCTTAGAACTCATTCCTCATAAAATATTTACATTTTCCAAAATTTGGTTAATGTATGCACAGCTGGAAATTAGATGTAAAAATTTAAAACAAGCTAGAAAATCTTTGGGTATGGCTCTTGGTATGTGTCCGAGAGACAAACTTTATAGAGGGTACATTGACCTAGAAATTCAATTGCGAGAATTCGATAGATGCAGAATTTTATACCAGAAATTCCTTGAATATGGTCCAGAAAATTGTGTGACATGGATTAAGTTTGCTGAACTTGAGACATTACTTGGTGACATTGATAGAGCTAGAGCCATATATGAAATAGCAGTAAATCAGCCCAGACTAGATATGCCAGAGTTGTTGTGGAAAAGCTACATAGATTTTGAAGTTTCTCAAGGTGAAACAGATAAAGCCAGACAATTATATGAGAGGTTATTAGAAAGAACAGTTCATGTAAAAGTGTGGCTATCATATGCTAAATTTGAATTAAATGCAGAAAATCCAGACAATATAAATATAGAGTTAGCCCGTCGTGTTTATGAACGCGCAAATGATAGTCTTAGAAGTGCAGGTGAAAAAGAATCTAGAGTTTTACTTTTAGAAGCATGGAAAGACTTTGAAAGTGATATAGGCGATGAAGAAAAACTTGAGGCTGTAATGTCAAAGATGCCTCGTAGAGTGAAAAAGAGACAAAAAGTTATTAGTGAAAGTGGCATTGAAGAAGGATGGGAAGAAGTATTTGATTATATCTTCCCTGAGGATGAAATGGTTAGACCCAATTTGAAACTTCTAGCAGCCGCTAAGCAATGGCGTAAGCAGCAGATTGTTCCAGAAAATAATGAGAATAATACAGATAATAAATCCAATACACAAGAGGACAGTATCCGAGACAATGAAAATAAATCATAATTTTAGATGATTAATTATAATGAAAAATTAAAAATAAAATTTTTACAGTCAAAAATGTGTTTTTTTATTATATTATTACACCTGAAGAATTATAAATTTTAAATATTCAAGAGAGTTATTGTTTCTCTGGCTTTTTCATTATGCATACATGTGTATAATATTCAAATTTTTAACATAAGTTTTATTTTAAAATGGACAAAAATGAGAAATGCATGAAATAATATTTCAATATTGTATAAACATGATAATTTAAGAAGTTATATATATATGGTTTTATAAAACATCAATAAATAATATTAATTAAAAAAACTTTCAATATAAACACTTTATTCCTATTTATGTCAATCAACATCCTCTGGTCTAACTGGATGTGCTAAAGGTATAACTGATTTTTTATTTATATCTCTTGAGCATGCTTTCCTCATATCTGTAAAAATCAAAATAGAACAGTAAGAAATATGAAAAAAAAACAGTTAATTATTTAGGTACATAAAAAAATTGTTCAAAATATATGTTATTGAATAAAGAAGTTATTGGATTAAAAAAATAGATAAATACCATAGGCATCTTCATCTGGATCTCCTGAATAGTATTCAAGGACAGTTCTATACACAATATATCCCAAATTTTTGTACATATTAATTGCTACTTTGTTGCTTACTCTCACAAATAAATCTACAAAGTATGCTTTTTTTCTGAAAAAGAAAATGAGTATACATTAATAATAAATCAGTTGTCTTTTGTTTGTAACTATGATTATATTATGCTATTAAAAAAAAAAATTAACTGCCTCGGTGCTGTAGTGGCTAGCATGTACGGCTGCACACCCGAAGGTCCTGGGTTCGAGTCCCGGGTCGGGCCAAGTTTAGTTATCGAGTCTTTCTGTATAGTAAGCCTCAGTAACAGCCCGGAGTTGGGAAGTTGGCGGTGTTTCACCCCCGTGCCTCGGAAAGCACGTAAAGCCGTCGGTCCTGCGCCTTAACTCTCACTGGTCGTGTCGAGTGATAGTCCCACCGGAGTATGAGAGTGACAGGAATAGAGAGTGCACTTGTGTCTGCGCGTACACTTGTGCACTATAATATCTCCTGCGCAGTTGGCTAGTCTCAATGAGATTGGCCGCCGTGGCCAGAATCGGTCAGGAGAACATCATTATGCTATTGAAGAAAATATTCTTCAATATTTTAAAATAAAGCTTACATAAAACTTACTTTTCAGAAAATTCTTCTAAAATATTCATCAAAGTTGCAGCTATTCCCAGTCTTCTGTAATCAGGACTTACTGTTAAAGCAGTTACATGGCCATGCCAATTATCACCATGACCTTCTGCTTTGCCCATTACTAAAATATTAAAAATTAAGTTCCAAATTATCATTTAAACTATTACCACACTACCTAATTTTATATAAGCAGTCTAGAATATTTTTGTACCAATCTAACATCTAAGCATTAATAAAAAAATAATATAAATGTAAAAATTAGAGCAACAACAAGATTTTACTTGTTCTCCATTTTGATCCCATTTATGTATATAAATAAATAAGAATAAAGGTATTGCTTTAACCCTTAAAATAATTCAACTTACTATAACCCATTATTTCCCCACTAGGTGATTCTGCTACTTGAAAAAACTCAGGCCAATGTGCTAAATATTGTGTATAAAAAGACAACCCATACGTTTCTGTTAATGGGTCGAGATTCCTAAAATAATTAAAGATATTTTGCAAATAATATTTTTAATTAATGAGTAATGTATACATAAGAAAGTATTACCGACACATTATTAAAGTATAGCATATCCTCGCATGTAAATGGTCGAATTGTCGTCATATTGTAATAGCTAATAAGGTTATTATATATGATGAGAAGTATTTAGTATATTTTAGTCATAACCGTTAACTTAACAAACTAACACATTACAGTTTACACAATTGAATATTCAATGCATGGATGACAAATAAAATTGATTCAATGCTTTAAAAATTTAGCTGTCAGATGTCAAAATTGAAAATTCAAACCACAGATTCAAAGTTGAAACATTTCAAACGCCAAAAGATTTTACGTTACATTTATGACCTACCCTACCCCAGCCTGCAAATTTATGATATTCGCAATGAAAAAAATACTAATCGATAGATTTTTAATAGCTCAATTCAACTACGTAGCCCTTCCAAATTGCTCACCATTAATTATAAAATTAAAAATCAATAAAGTCCTTGAAAAAAATTCATTTATCCATATATTCAAATTTCTATATCTTTTGATATATACAATATTTTAAATTGCTCAAAGTTCTAAAATACTGCTCAAGTTGCATTTGTAATTGCTCAAGTAGAGTTCTCACCAGCTCCACTTTCCTTAATTAATTAATAAATATAAATAGTACACACGTAGAAGTCCAAGAAGTTTCAGAATCAGACCTCCTCTGCATAATCAACGATGACGAGGACGACGAGAAATCCTTGTCTCGCTCGGGCGAGGAAAACAGCATAAATGCCGGTAAACGGACCACAACTGGACCCCGCTAAGAAAAATGAAACATCGCCGCTAAATTAATCAGGAAAAAGAGGACGGTACTAAGGGCTCTAATGAGATGGAGTCAAAGAGTGAGACGAAGCTGTTGAAAATGAGATGGAACATCCGAGAGGCGATCAGCTCAGCATCAAGAGATGGAATGTTTGTGGCGCTTCCAGGAGCTAAAAAGGATCGTAGCAGTATTATTAAATTATTGATTGCTGATCAGAGTTCAAAATTCCTTTATATTAAAGGCAGTTTATATTCATGCAGTTTGTTTCTTTGAAATAAAAATGTCATTAAACTATATGTATATTTAAAAATAAAAAAAGTTCCGTCTTGTATTGATGTTAATAAAATTTTACTAATGATCCCTGTCATGGCTATTACCTTAATAGAATAAGCATTTGAACATAAGATTTTGTCTTAATTTATCTGTTGGTATTAATTTTCATTTATTGGTAGATTCCAGATCTGTTCTTTATGTTATAATATCTGAAGTGGAATCACGTAATGTGAACAATTCATAAATTCAATAAATTTAAAGAAATCCACCGAGAAACAGAATTAAGACGTTGAATTGGAACGATTGTCCAAGCCCGCCGAGGCCGACCGACAATGCGCGGTGCGCATGCGCACGCTCACTTAACCTACGTTACATTTATTACAACTATACTTTTAATTATTTAATAACTAGCATTGCCCGCGGCTCCGCCCGCGTTCAGATGACCAAAAACTAAATTCTTAGGTGTTACATATTAGTATACTCTTACATTGCAGTTTTTGTATTTTTCCTCAGAAATAAGATATTTTCCCGCGGTAAAAAGTATCCTAGGATCGCGCGCTACATCGCCCGGTTTATATAGCTTGAGCAGGCGGTCGAGCGATGCGGGGCAGAGGGGATGGACTCGCCGTAGGCATCTCAATGCTCGCCAAGCATTAAAAATGTTTCGCTACTAATTACTTCTAACAACGATATCTCAAAAACTATTCATCTGATTGATTTAGTGTAAAGAGCAATTTTAATCTGCATTAAATGACTAAGCTAACTAAAATATTCATTTGGATAAGGATTAATACCGAACTAAAGAAAATAACTTTGAAAATAACGTAATGTTTTTAATTAAAAATGTTAACATAAAAGTGGTTATTGTAAGTCAACCGTAAGAGATAGAGATATGCTATCGCGGACTTTTTTGTAGCATTTTTATAGATTTTGAATTCTCTAGTACATTACTTAACTGTATCTTTGCTAGTTTACGCGGCGTTCGCGTGGAAAGTTCCCATTTGGCGAGATTTTTTGCGACCTCTTCAACATTTGTCGCCGTATTTCAGCTAATTTACATAAAAGCATAATAAATTATATACCTAAACCTTCCTCAAGAATTACTCTTTCTATTGTTGAAAACCGTATAAAAATCCGTTCAGTAGTTTTCGAGTTTATCGCGTACAGACAGACAGGAGGACAGAAAGACGCGGCCGGGGGACTTATTTTTATAATAAGTATAGATCAGCGAAAGTGGAGCTGGTAAAAACTCTACTTGAGCAATTACAAATGCAACTTGAGCAGTGTTTTAGAACTTTGAGCAATTTGAAATATTGTATACATCAAAAGATATAGGAGTTTGAATATACAGATAAATTAATTTTTTTTCAAAGACTTTATTGATTTTTAATTAAATAATTAAAGGTTAGCAATTTGAAAGGGCTACGTAGTTAAATTGAGCTATTGAAAATCTATCGATTAGTATTTTTTTCATTGCAAATATCATAAATTTGCAGGCTGGGGTAGGGTAGGTACATTTATGTGCTCTATATTATATATAGATTATATATAATATGGAGCACATAAATGTAACGTAAATTAAAGATGAAAAATTAAAATTACAAACAAATCATGTCGAAACTCGCGTTCGCATCTATTAGCGCTTGAGTCTCAAAAAGTTATTGTGAATGATGCCAACATGGTAATTTTAAATATTATTGAAAATAATATTGTTTTCGATAAATTATTCATAGTTTTTATGGATACGGATTTTAACTATTCAGGAAGTAAGAAATTTATATTATAAATCTTATCATGACATTGAATTAATACATAAAGTAGAAATAGTAACAGCGAAATCTGCACATGAAATATTTTTTTAAAACTTTACGCTTAATGTACAAAATATAGACCCCGAAACCATATCTGTTGAAATTTTTGTCTGTAAGTATGCTTATCTTTTTGCTATTTACGTCAAAAGCATCGAACCGGACTTAACTAAATTTTCTGCATTTAGGATACCTTTTACCACAGAAAAAAAATTCATACACAATAACTGATTTGGCCGAGTTGGTTTTCTTTTTATTACAGTTTTCACTAATAGAAAGAGCGATGGACAAGGAACGGTTGTGTATATAATTTGTAAAACACTAACTAAAACTTAAAACATACATCAAAACAATGTACTAGAGACTAGTCTAGTAACTAGACAATAATTATTGTTGGTCTTAAGCGACCTTCGATTAAAATGTAGAATGTAAAACTTAAAAAGCACCATACCTATAAAAATTAAAATAATAATAAATTAAATTTACAACTATTTTAAATTTAAATAACAAACACTAAATTATGAAAATATTACCAATTAGTAATTTATTTTCAATTTTGTCATTGGTTGAGCTACCAACATGAACATAATTTGCTATCTATACTATTTTTTATTGTTCAATTTTATACATTTTAGAGGTATAAATGTTTAAGTATTAAACATTTTTTCATTATATATTGACGTAATTAATTGAGGGATTATTTTATACTAATAATTTAACAAAAGAAATTTTAAAAGAAAATGCTGAATGAAATGATTTGTTGCCATACAAAATATTTTTGTCTACACTCAAATAACTATTATCCTACTCGTTTTACCACATGTCGAAAGGCATATTTATTACTCTTTTACAAGCTAAAAGCTCAAGTGGAGCGATCTATGGGCTTCTTGCAGTTTACCAACACGACAATGGCCGAATTGTCCGTATAAGATATTTTTTATTGGCTCATACATCTAAACCTGCCATGTCTTTGGTTTTAAAAATGGCGTATACAAGCTTTTTGTTTGCCGGTTTACGCTGTTGAATGAATAGTTTTCGGAAACCTGCGCGTATTAAGACGACACGTAAACGTCGTGAATATGAGAATAAAGTACATGTGTAGGTACAATAATCTACACCATGGATCCGTGAACATATTTTTTTAGCGTTATGGTGAATTAGAATGGTGCCTGTGGTTTGTCAAGCTCGCACGTCGACAGGTTACCCGTTTGAAACGTAAATATCATCTAGCGGGCGTTTTATATTTCAGATATGACAGCGTCGCAAAATAGTAGATAATGGAGAGTTCCGAAGACGATGCGGGTGCCGCGACGAACGCTTCCCGCCGCGTATCGGCGCGGGAAAAGGACGTTGGACAGATTGAGGACGTCAATGCAACTAGTAGTTTTCAGCAGGATCCATCTGAACAGAGAACATCTTGTGAAACTCCCGCAATGTCGGAAGATAATTTTGACGGGGATAGTGTTCCGTCACCGTCGACGCAAGATGTCAACACAAGCACGGAAGCGATTTTGGACATGATAGATGAGATCGTCGACGGGCCTGGAGCACCGAAGCGTCTGCCTTTTGCCTTAGAAAATGACACCGACAGTAGATTTGCTGGTGGGGGAGATTCCAATACAAACGTAGACAACACTGTTAATGATGAGAATTCATTAAAATTATCTCACTCAGCCCCTGCCACAAGTGCCAAAATTAATGAAGAACAAAGTTTACCGACAAATTCATCAAACATACTCACTACTCAAAATGCAGTTTTAGCTGACGAGAAAGAGGACTGTGTAGAATTGCCAGAAAATAGTTCATTAGCACTCAATAGTGACAGGAAAGTAGTATCAATAGATACTCAAAAAGAGACAGTGTCATGTTCTGAGGAAACTCAAGACTCAATTTCAGTTCCAATTGTACCTTCGAGCAGAGTTTTACAGACAGTTCAAAGTGTATCAGAAACTGAGAGTGCATTGTGTGAAAGGACAGTGAAATGTGTGACTTCTAGTGATAATAGAGACAATGTTGTTGTGGAAAGTGCTGAGTCAACATCAAGTGACAATAGTATTAGTGATACAAGGATCCCTGTAGAATCTGCTACAAGATCTCCATTGAGACGGAGACTTGTCCGGCCCTTGCCAAACCGACCGGATTCTACTGTTTCTTCTACAGTAGACTCAAGTGTTAATATCAACACATCAGAACAGGCAAGTGAAAGTATTGTTAAAGATGTATCTAGCTCTTCAGATGCAGTGCCTATTGTACATGGTAATGTTAAGCCAGAAGAGATTAGAAATATTAGTGAAGTTAGTATCTGCAAAGCAGAAACAAGCAGTCCTTCAAAAAAAATTAAACTTATTAGACAAAAAATTGTACCCCAAACATGTCAAACACAGACAGATCGTAGAGTTGATAGTGATCCACTTACAGCTCAAATAGATCAATGCCAGTCAACATCTGAGGCCATTAATATCGCTCTTAATTCATGTGCTGAGCCAGTACTTGAGAATAAAGCATCAAACTTAGAAAATCAATGTGATATAGAACCCAACATCATACTTTGTAAATCTCCGGATCGAACTAAAGAATTAATACCAGAAAGCACAAATGAGACCTGTAGTAAAAGAGAAGATGTATTAGAAACATGTTCAAGCATTATGACAAATATTACAGCTGAAAATAGTAAACAAGAAGTTTCTAAAAAAAATTCTCCTTTAAATATTGACCTATCTACTGCAAATACATCAGAAACAATTGAATCAACAAGTCAACATATAGATAAAGATAATGTTGATGTAGCAACTACAAATTTAGAGGAATCTGATGTAACAAAGCAGGTTCCAAAATTAACAATAAAATTAGGTAATATAAATGCAGAGGAAATTAGGCCTCCAGTACCGAAATTAACTATAAAACCTCTCAGGCCCCCTGCTGAGGTTGAATCACAAACTGACAAAAATGTTAAAGAGCAAGTACCTCATGTGAAAAAGTTAAATATAAAACCAATTACTCAACCTGAAAAAATAAATGAAATCCATCGAAAGTCCAGTAGTAGTGAAATTTCTGAATCTGAATATTCTGAAAATGATGAGAGTGCTAGTACATCAGATCAGGCATCAGCTTCTGACCAAGGTACTTCAGATATAGTTCCTAAAGTAACCATAAAACTTGGCAAGCCGGGAACTGAATCTGAAGGGCAATTTTATACTGAAAAAAATGTTCCAAAACTCACAATAAAAGTAATACAAAATAATGATGTTCAAGAACAACCATCTCCTACAAAATTAAAAGTGGTTCTTAGTCAACCTGAAGATACACAAGTTGACAAAGTACCAAAATTAACAATTAAGACTGTGGCAAAATGTGAGAGTCAACCACTTAGCCCAAAATTGATTATTAAACCATTAAAGCCTCCAGATGATCTAAATAAAGAAAATGCATCTGATCATTGTCAAATTTCAGATATAGCAAAATTTAAAACATCAACAGAGTCTTCATCTAATGCGGAAAATAAAGAAGTGCATGTACCTAAAATCACTATTAAGCCAGTGACTAAGTCTTATGATAGCCCTGATAATATACCTGTAGTAACAAAATTAAATATTAAGCCCTTAATAAAACCTGACAATATTGATTTATCTGAGGGCTCAGAAGAAAAAGTTCCTGTAGTTTCAAAATTAAATATTAAACCTATAGTAAAACCTAAAGATAGTGAAATAGATAGTAGTAAAGAAGATGTACCTAAGATTACAAAATTGAATATTAAACCCTTAAAAAGCCCTGAGACAAATTCTTCTGAAGAAAAAGACTGTGATGTTAAAGCTGATGTAGATGAAAATAGTATACCTGTTGTTACTAAACTTAATATTAAGCCTATTGTTAAGCCATTAGATGAAGATATGTTAAGAGATAATGAAAATCAATCATCTGAAACTGGAAACTCAAGTGATGACAATGCTGATCAAATACCTATTGTTACAAAAATTAATATTAAACCTATATGTAAACCAAATTATGTGGAAGAATCAGGACCAAGCAATACAAAGGAAGATAATATACCAGTTATAACTAAATTAAACATTAAGCCATTAATTAAGCCTGATGAAAGCATATCCCCACAATCTCCAAAAAAGGAAATCTCAAAAATGACCACTAGTAATATACCAACAGTAACAAAATTAAATATAAAACCTATCTTAAAGCCTGATGAAATAAAACATAAGGAAATATCTGAAGATGATGATGAGATATCAGCAAAAAATCCTCCACTAGTAATGAAAATTAATAGGAAAACAGTTGTCAATGAAGATCAATACACTATAGATAAAAATGATCATGAACATTGTAATAATGTTAATGATCCGATGATACCAGTTGTTTCAAAAGTAAATATAAAACCAATAGTGAGAATTCCAGATAAAATTTTAATAGAAGAGTTAAATGATGATTTAAAAAAACCAGATGCTATCTCTAAAGCAAGTTTAAAACATGTTGAAATGAATGACAATAAAATCAATAATTTGGGGTCTGATCAAAACTGTGTTAATGACTTAGAAGAAAGTTTGCCTTGTGTTAAAGGAGATATTGCAGTAATAGCCTCAGTCAAAGAAAATGCTTGTGATACAAGCATAGTAACTGCAGAAAAATCACAGGAAGGTAAAACTATCCCATTACATGCACTAAGCAGTAGCCCACAGCATAAATTTTCTAAGCCCATTTTGGAAAATCAAGCTTCACAGGTTACTGTACATAATGACAATGTTGAACCAGATTCAGAGGCAAATATTACTCTAAAAATATCTACTGAAAGGCTAAAAGTCAAAAGCACGCCTATGAGGCAGAATTGTACTTTATTAAAAAAATTATTAGAAAATCGAAAAGATAAAGGACCAGAAGGGGAAGTAGGAATTAAAATGAATGCTACTAAATATTCATCATCTATTGTAAATGATCCACCAAAATCACCTACACAAAATATAAGTATCGGAAGTGATTTACTCAAAGAAAGATTGAATTTGGAGACCAAGAATGACACTGTTGAAAGTAACCAAATGAAAGAAAGTAAAACCACTATTATTGGTTGCAACATACCACTAAAAGTTCGTTCAATACAAGAATTATGTAAAGAAGCAAATGAACATTTGACAAAACCCCTTGAAATTAATATTTCTGATAAAGTTTCATGTCATAGTCCCGATCAAGATTCTCCTAGAATAATATTAAAAATTAACAAAACTGATCAAGGTGCATCAGCAAAAATAATCACAGAAGAAAGTAAAAAACCTGATGGCCAATCATATTCCCCTAAGAATACTCATGATTTGATGAATGATACACATCAAAAGAAAAGCCTTTTAAATAGTAGGAGAAAACCTCATGTGGATACCCCGATGCCTATGGGTAAGAGATTAAGGAGTTCGAGAATCCTCCAAACTTCAGATAAAACACCAACAATGAGACGTAATATGGGAAAAAGAGCTTCGACAAGTGAACCTGAAAGTCCTCCAATAAATAAGGAACCAGAGCTTTCAGTGTTGGAAACAAAGAGATTAAAACTAGGTCAACTGCTGTCTAACAAATCACTGACAATTACTCCAATTGCTGCAAAAGCATCACCTATATCTCCACCAGTCAACCCTTTGGAAATCAGACAAAGCGGTAGAAATCATTCACTTTTAAATAATGAAAATTGTGCTAAAAATGGAAGCTCCAAACTACATAACATCTTGTCAAATTTACAAGCGAAACAGTTACACGCTCTTGATCTTATTCATCCTGAAAACAATCAAAGTTCGAGTCCTGATTTGAAATCGAGTACTTCAGCTGAAAGTCAAGAGCTAATATCTGATAATACATCAATGGATAAAAGTAGACCTGAGGTCCAAATGATATTTCATGACAATTCTGAATCTCGAGATTTTAGTGCACCTGAGGAAATGGCTAGAGATCCTCTCGAAGATGACAGTTTAAGAAGTAATGATTTCATACAAGACATTCCCAAGCCCGTAGATATGACGCCACAACCTAAAAAGCGTGGACGTCCACGAAAGCTGCCGGTATCAGAAGGCGCGAAAACAGTTGTTACTCTACCCATCCCGGCACTAGAGGAGCGACCGCAACGATCGCTTCGGTTATCAAGGTACTTTTTAATTAAAAAATATACAATTAATAACTATTTAGCTTGAAAATCACACGATTTCAACTAATAAAAATGATATGATTATATAGTGTTTAGTATTTATTCTATTTTATATTATATCAATGTCAATAAATTCAATATTTTTTTTATAAATAAATACAACCTATATAATTAGATATTCTAACGTAAATTAACAGGGATCGTCCGGTAATATTAGTAAAGCCTAGAGGGAGAGGACGTGGGCGAGGTCGAAGACTCGACACGGAGTCAAGCCCCGCACCAGCAGATCCAGTCGAAACGGCCAATAAATTCTTCGCAGAACAAAAATCTGAAGAAGAGATCGATCCTACCAGCTCTCGAATCAAATTGCCGCGAATGACTGAGGCACTAGATAAGATGCCCTCTGTCTGTTCAACGCCCCTCACGAGTAGGAGACGAACCTCTTCAGATATGCCGTTCTTCGGCAGTACTCCGGACTTGAAAGTGGTTTTGGAATCGTCGCTTCCTAAAATGGAAGACCCGTTTTTAAAATCGCCAGAGATGATAAGCGAAGTGAGAGGTCGTGGGAGTCGAGGTGGAAGAGGGAGTCGCGGAGGCAGAGGCCGCGCCGCCGCACGTAGTCCACGAGGACGAGGACGAGGTAGAGGTGGCGGTAGAGGGGCTATGTATATGAAGGTAATCGATATTAATTCAATTCTATTAAAATTAATTCTAAAATATATAAAACTGAGATTTTGATAAAGATGTTAAATAACAGTATAATTTCGTTCAATCCCTTTAGTTCTTATATATGTAAATCAATATGTAATTAAATTTAATGCAATTCTTTCAGGAAACAATGGGTATATATGGGAGAGTATGTGGTCCCGCAACCACCACAGTCCAATTATTTGAAGAAGAAACTTGCATGATGGATGACAATGCTACTCCTGCTAAGTAAGCTTATTTAAAACGAAAATCTTTTAATGTCAATAAATTTACTTGAGGAACAATAAATTATATATTAATTTTTTGTAAATTTCAGACCCTCACATTTGCTTGATGAAGATTCACAGAGTTCTGTCAAGAGTTCCACTAATGACAGCAATAAAATGAAAAAGTCAAAATTTGCAGATTTGTTTGATAGGTAAAGAAAATAATACATTTTGTTAATATGCTTATGTGAAGTTATTACATATTAATAATTGCATCAAAATTGACTTAAATATTGACACATAATAAAAATAATTAAATGTGAATCTTTTCAGCAATAAAGTATGGACAGCCGCTGATGTCAAAGAATACACATGGCCACCACCTGAAACAACAGATGGAGAACATCAGGTATTGTTTTACTTCTTTAATAACACTGTGCTTGAAGTATACATATATTATTTTAAATAATATCTTAAAGAAAATTAAAAAGATATGATATTATGTCGGAAAAAAATCACCAATCTGTACAATAAAAAACTTTTCATTGTAACTTGTAGTCATATTTTATAAAGCAAGTATTTTATAGCAAAGCTAAAATTATAATAAAGCCAAAATTGAAAAATCTCTACAAGCTGAAAATTATTTCAATTTTGATGTGAGGCTTTTATTTTTATATTCATCAAACATCATCATCCCTAAAAACAAATAAAAAAAGAAACAAATCTGTAAAAAAATAGTCATATACCATTTTTAAATACATGATCTTGATAATAATCATGACAATAACAGGCAAAATAATTAAATATGATATTCATGATTATTATGCAAAAAATATTCTACATTTCTCTTAACAATACTAGCAAGACAGACAATTCTACCTTTGCATATTACATGATTATATGTGTTACTAACTTACATACATTTTAGTTATTAATTGTATTTATATTACATACATATAAGTATTACTATCATTTGCCTGCCACCCCCACCCACGTCTCTTATTTATATATTTAACAAAAATCCTTACTTGCCCATTTCTTACACCATATAACCCACGAAATCTCCAATTTTGTTCAGCTTTAAAAATACACTTTTTTCATACAAACTTTCAATACCTTTGCGGAATGAATCTCCAAAAATCCTTTCCCATTACCTTTGAAGAATCTACTCTGTAAAAGTTAGTAGAATTTTAAATCGTGAGAAGTCTTGTCTCCAAAAAAAATAGTCATGAGGACTGCCAACAGAAGTGAAAACTTAAAGCTATAAACAAACAGTTGTTATTTTTGGATATTCAAATTAATTGTTTGATCTTAAATTAAAATTTGTAAATTAAAACTGTTTACATTTATCTGGTTTTGACATCTATCGGACTATGGGTGTTAAATAGCGTTAACACGTCACGTGACCATGTCGATGACGACTTACATGAATTTACTCTTCATCCAAACCTGCATATAGAAGTTTTCACTACAAAAATAATGTAATATATGAATAAACATGATTGTATCACCATTTTTAGCAAATAAAAGAAGTATTGTTGTTATTAAAATATTGCAATGTTTTCTCCAGGTCATGATGATTCAAGAGCAAGTGGCGATGTTTCTGGGCGTCAAGAGCTTTAAACGGAGATATCCTGAACTAAAACGACGAACCATTACTGGAGAGGAAAGAGGCTATGTACTCAGTAAAGGGCTTGTTACGGAGGCTCTTTGCGATCTGGGTAATGTTCTATATTATTATGATTTCCTAATAATGTTCATCAAGAAATGATATATATAGTCTATACATACTGATATATAAAGTTGAAGTGTCTGTTTGTGTAATGTCGAAATAATAGCTTTTTACTAAATGCATATGAAATTATGTATGGAATTTAAAAGAAAAACACAATTTTTAAAATTTTTGTCTGTCTGTTTGTTCCGGCTAATCTCCGTAACGGCTGGACTGATTTTGACGGGGATTTTACTGGCAGATAGCTGATGTTATATAGAGTAACTAAGGCTACCTTTATTTTAGAAAAAGAATTAGGGTGCTGCCCAAAAAAAATGAAAACGTACTTAGAGTTGCACCCGAGCGAAGCGTGGTTAAGTCGCTAGTTCACCAATAATAAATGTCAAAGTTTATATAGAAATACATTTTTTATTTAATTCACTAAACCTCTAATATATTTTGCTTTATATTAGGCATAACAGCAGTCGACGCTAGTGAAGTACTTGACATAATGCTGTCAGACTATCCTCACAAATATGAAGAGTTCCGAAGTCATCAACGAGAGAAGCAACTCGCAGAACCTACTGAGGATATTCCAGAAGAGACCAAGTCTGAAGTTAAGACCGAAAAAATAGATACTAAAGATCAAAAGACGGTCGACACTAAGCCTGAACCACCGAAAATTGACCCAGAAAAAACTAGACAGGTACATTCACCTAATGTATCACTTAATTATTTTTACACGAGATATCAAACTTTTTTAATATTTTGTGTTTATTATGGTGACGTCATTACGGTTATAGTGAGGTAGGTCGTGTTGATTAATGATAAAACTTGCATAATAAGTAGATAAGCTCAGTCATGCTGATATAATATTTGACTATTGCAAAAACTTATGATAACAAGCAAAACAAATAGTAAATTTTTCAAATTTTTACGTAAAATATTTGTATATAGCTTAAAGAGAGAGAGAGATTAAGATAAGTTTTAAATTATAAAAATATTTGAACACTGCACTTGTAGTTTCCATGGTCAATGTTTGTGTGCACACATATTCATGTGCACTTGTTTCCATGTGTTCTTTTTGCTTTGCGATTTTGATTTATCTAATACGAATATATTTTATATTAAATATAAAATATATATCTATTGCTATCTTATTATATCAGGCCTCGTAGCTTACCATGGAACTAGATGGTGCTGTGTTAATGTCCTAGCATATATTTAATATATCTAACATATATTTAACATATTTAACATTGCTTACCAATCCTTTACAATATATTTTGGTTAACACAACAGAACATTTTATTTTTTTCATTATTACATCAATGGCTGAGGTTATTCTGTAAAGTCAAGTCAGAGAACGCATTTAGTTTTTAACTTTTCTAAAATATCATTACATACTTCATTTTTTATAATTTCTGTACTATAGTTGCAGATTAGTTATAGGTTAGTGTGTACTTAAACATTGAGGTTTGGGTGACACAGTTTTTCCAAAAATGTGCCTTAATTAAAATATTTATATATATATATATAGCAAGTTCAATGTAAACAATCAACAATAAAAGTTTAGACTTTTAATTTAAGATTAGTGTTCGCCTAGTGCTCGAAATTCACCATTATTATTATTAGTAAAAAATGAGAAAAATAAAACTATTTCAATAATTAAAATTATATAATTAAGAATTAACTGTTTCCGAGGTTTTTGTATTGATAAAAATGTCGTCAATAGCTACTAGACCTCTATAACTAATTTTTAGAAAGTTTTAGGTTCTTATTTCCGGTGTATATATTTTTATCCATATTATATATATCTTATTGCATATATTAATGTGAACATCCTCGTCCTGCTTAATATTTCAAATGTGAAAATTTGTGAGGATATATGTTTGTTTATTTTATGCAAAAACTACTGAATGGATTTTGACGAAATTTTTAAATATAGCTTTATACCTTAAAGTAACACAAAGGCTATATATTATAGAGATATAGTGATACATAATTGTAGTATGCGGGCTAGTTGTATATACGTTTCAATATATAATTATTTTTTTTTATTTTCTTATTAACAATGTCTATGTTTGTTTGTTATGATCCAGGACATGGCGGCCGCGGCGATAGCATCCGCGAGCGAGTACAACGCGCGCATGAACGCGTCGCGTCGGCCCGCGTGCGCCGACCTGCAGTCGCTGACGGTGCAGCGCCGGCGAGCGGCCGCGCCGGCGCCCGCGCCCGCGCGCGTCCGCGTGCGCCCGCCCGCCGGATTCTACCCGCACGCGCTGCTGCCCGGACAGTACCAGCACGCGTACCGCGTATACACGCCGCAGGACCTACGGTGTGTGACCTCTTCCCTTACCTTACAAGTTACACACGCATATGAAATGCGTCAGAACAAAAACCAATAAATCACATTTTGACATATTTTTTATGATGCCTCTCGTACATATCTTGATCTATGGTTAATATAACCTGGTCAAAAATTGATAAATCGGTTCTAAATACGAATTAGAATAAAAATTAATATTAACTTTTTTTAGAGAATTTAGGTTTCCAATCAGTGATGCTAGCACCAGTAAATTGATAGATTTCGTTTAACTTTAAATAATTATAAAACCATGAACTTGGCTATATATTTACATTTTTCTACAAAAAACGCAAATGTGATTTCTCGAATTTTGTTCTGACGCTCCTCATATATGGATGACGTCGTGGGAAACATGATTTTCTAACTATATATATATGTGAAGTGAAAGTAGCTCAGTGGTAACGTGCTAAGGAAACCAAGTAGAGCGGGTTCATATCCCGGATTCTTTGCATGGATCATTTTCAACATATTTCATCATGTTATCATTAATTGCTTTACGATATATGAAAACGAAATTTAATTAAGTTTACATAACAAGTTTTTGAATGATATGTGAAGTCGACTAACCTGCACTTGTCAGTGTGGTGGCCTAAGGCCAGATCCCTCTCGTATTAAAGGGCTTAGAACATATATTTTTTTAATTTTGGTAGGTAATGTTAAGCTAATTAATCAAACTGCATAATAATAATTCTTACAAAATAAATTATTTCGTAATCACAAGTACTTATTTGAGATTAAATTTGTTCTGTGCCAATTAATCTAATATGGCCATATAGTTTAGGAGATATTGAAAAGTTAAAAATCACAACTTGTGCACAAATATCTATGGACACTAGTGTTTTATAACTTACATCCATACTAATATTATAAATGTGAAAGTGTGTTTGTTTGTCCTTCTTTCACGTCGAAACGGAGTGACTAATTGGCGTGATTTTTTTGTGTCGAGATAGTTGGAGGGCTGGAGAGTGACATAAGCTTTTCATCGCGGGAGATTACTTAATTCCCACAGGAACACACGTTATAATACAATCAAAAAAATATGTTTTATTAGAATTACTTGAAACTTAGTATATATGCTCTTCAATAAAATTAAATAAATACATTTCTTAGCTTTTTTCGAAATTCATCCTATAAGGGGGTAAAATAGGGGATGAAAGTTTGTATGAAACTATCTTTTTAGAGATTTTTTTGTAGTTTTAGCGCGAGCGAAGCCGCGGGTTCTGCTAGTATGTGTATAAAGACTAAATGTACATATATTTATTTATTTATGTACCATAAAATATATCTTATACATATCTTATACAAAATAAAGCAACAGAATGTCGACAAAGGATAACTTATCACTTTAAGAGATTTTTTCCAGAAGTGAGAAATAACTTAATTTAGTGCGGTGAAGGTACAGTACAGCATTAAATAGTATTAATTTAATATTAAAATATATCAACTAAATATTATAATTATACCAAAAAAATAAATATATTTATACACACAGATACATACATACATACATACATACAAACATATATACACTACTACTACATATACAGTATACTATATTTTATATCTGATTCGATAAATAGTGCTGTTTAATTCTAAATTTAAATGTAGTATGTATAAAGGTAAGCTAAATAAATAAATAATATGTGGTCGCAGGTACTTCCCGCTGAACACAGCGCTGGCGGCGCCGCCCGCGCCCGCGTCGCCGCCCGACTCCAGCTCCGACTCGGACGGCGGCTGGGGCTCGCGCAGCTCCGACTCGGAATCCGACCGAGAACAGCATAGGAATGCTAAGGTTTTATATGTTGTTCTTTATTATTTTGTTACTTGTTACTGGCTTTGACTTTTATTTGAACTGGTATTATATTGATATAAGTGTAGTTAGTATCAAATCAAGTATTTTATAATTGTTGTTTTTTTGAATATTTGATTTATTAACATTGAATTTATGTTAAAAACATACATAATAAAATCTTATTTATATCTAACATTGAAATAAACAAAAGTGATCATATAATATATATGATGTGTGATCTACTTTAAATCATTTAATATCCCTTAAACACAATAATGGCTTTATACATATTTTGTGAAATATTGCAAAAATTAATAGGCTTATTATTGTTATATATACTTCCGATACTAAACCAAATCTATATTTAATTCATTACAAAAACCATATATACCTTCACGCTACATACATTGTGGCAGCTTAGTGGTAAAATAATTCGAAACCCTCACTTCTCCTCCCATCAGCCCCGGATCTTCAATTTTTTCGAGGCGGGGCAAGACTAATCTAGATCAATTTATCGCCCCCGAAACCCTCGTGTGCTAAATTTCATGAAAATCGTTAGAGCCGTTTCCGAGATTCAGATTATATATATACACAAGAATGGCTCGTTTAAAGATATAAGATTAATAAAAAAGAACAACTCAACAGCGGAAAAAGCTAACAAAGACGAAGCGTCACAGCGCCGCAGAGCCGCCGGCCATCAAGGAGGAGGATGTGGTGGACACGTGCCGCGCCTGCAAGCTGCGCCTCGAGGCCAACCGCAAGTACACGCACGAGCGGTTCCTTGTATGCGCCAATTGTAACGCTAAGCGTGAGTATGCTAAAGAGTACATTATGAGTTACTAGTGACTTCACCTTACTTCGCTCGCGTGCGTTAAACGTTTCAATGGTTTATGAACGAATAAAAGATAAATGTCCATAGATTGTTTTACGCCAAGAACAGAGCAGGTGTATACAGAATAACGAAGCAGAATTTCATTACAATCGGAGTAATGGTTTAGGAAAGCATAGAGGACAAACATACAGACATTTATTTATATTTATATAGAAGATTATTTATATGGACGATGGCGATTTACTAAGTAGCTAGTGTGTTACTCCAAGTTATATATGTTAATTTCATCCAAATCTGTCAAGAGGTTTCACACAAGTTTTCAGTTAATCTTTATTATTTCAGATAGGAAGATTAACAAATAACACTCAAATTATATTTGTATTGAAAGTTTGAGTAAAATATCTATTGCAAATGTTTATTGTTTTTCAATATTCTAATTTAAATAATAAATTGGAAATCAAGGTGAATCTTTATTTTTCTTTTATATTCAGTAATACCCCGGACTTACGCGATAGGTGGGACCGAGCGATGACCGTGTAAGTCGAATTCGCGTAAGCCGGGGTTCAACTTTGCATATAAATACATATAAAGTATGTTTAATAGGGACCAGAGTCTAAAGAAAACGGTAATTTAGAAGATACATGTTTAATAAAATGTTAGACAATAGAAGAATTTTCATTGTTATGAATAAAACAACGTAAACCGAAGATAGTTTGATGTCGTTAATTTTGTCGTTAAGTCGGAGTTAAGTTTTAATGTTCGTTGACGTCCAGTCTGTGTTGATGCTTGATTCCGGTAGGTCAAATTTATTTGCCAATTCACGAAATTTTATTTGTGCTTTAAAGTCTTCGACAAAGTTCAGCTAATGCTCTAAAGAAAGTGGTATTCTTTTCTTGTAAGCTTCAAATGACTCATTTTTTGTTCTTTTCGATGACATAATTAGAGGTTATCAATAAAACGCACTGCGCACGTAAAACAATTTCACGCGGAACACTTTTGAACCTGTCGTAAACGGAACACTAACAGGGCGGAGTGAGAGAGCTACTGCGCGCGGCAATCAAAAAGAAAATCGCGTATCTCCGAATTCGCATAAAACGGAGTAGCGTAAGTCGGGTAATTACTGTATACAGAAATAAAAAATGTATTAAATTAACTGAGTGTTTGTGTGATGACAAAAAAAACAATTTATATAATATTTGTCTGCTTGTCGGCTAATCTCCGTAATGATTGGACCGATTTTGATGGGACTGTCATTGCCTGGTAGCTGATATTATAAGGAGTACCTTAGACTATATTTACTTTGAAACCCATGAAATTGTGGAGTAAATCCGTGTACCTAGGGATGCATCCAGGCAGGGTAAGTCGCTTGTCTATTCTTAATATTATAAAGAGGAAAGATTTGTTTGTTTGTTTTTTTTTTACTGAATGGGCTCTGAAACTACAGGTCCGATTTAGATAAAATTTGGCAAGAAGCTAGTTTGAGACCCTGGGAAGGACATAGGATAGTTTTTATCCCGGAAATCATTCCTTAAGGGGTGAAATTTTGTATGGGGAATCAACCTAGGGACGAACCCAAGCGAAGCGAGGGTAAGTCGCTAACTTATTTATAACTCTAGTCCGATAATTAATACCACCCCCGTCCCGCGCAGTGCACCCGTCGTGCGTGGAGCTCGGGCCGGACACGATCCGCAAGTGCCGCGAGTACGCGTGGCAGTGCGCCGAGTGCAAGACGTGCTGCGCCTGCGCGCGCCCCGCCGACGACGACAAGATGCTCTTTTGCGACCTCTGCGACCGCGGCTTCCACATCTACTGCGTGGGGCTCGCCGCCGTGCCTACTGGTTAGTGGTTTTTTTTCGGTAAAATGGAATAGGCATTATGTTATGGATATTAAATATATATTTTCAATTTGACATAAGTTTTTGACAACAATGAAAAAACATATTTTTGTTACAAATCTTATATACGATCTTTTGATTTGTGATAAAATAATTTTTCTTTCAAAAACCCAATTGTTATGTCTCCAAACATGGCTAGTAAATACAAATGTGCTGGCCCTTTTTTAGCATTAATATTATTGTATCATTCTGAAGAGTAGTCATAGTCTGGGTGATCTTAGTCTTCATCAAACTATTATTTGCCGAACCACTACTCGATTTTCTGAAATAAAAAGTTGTTTTCCAACTCATGAACATAATTTTCTGCTAATTGTCATACGCTTATAATGCACATAAGAAATGATTTGACAGAAAACAATTCATAATTTAAGTAGGAAGCAGTTTTAAGTGCATATCAGAATATTTTTATTTCACTATAACTGTCTTTTATTTTAAAAGATAGGCTTTCAATATCATCTCTATTTCACTATTACAGTACATCTGAAAGTCCTGGGTTCGAGTCCCGGTACCGGTCGAATGTCGAATTGTCGTCCTATTGTAGTATGAGAGGGTGCACGTTGTGTTTGCGTGCATACTTGTGCACTATAATATCTCCTGCGCACATCGCTACTCTCAATTTGATTGGCGAAAATCGATCAGGAGGAATATGTTTTATTTCACCACAATTATCTTCTATTTATGTCTAATGTCTTTTGACAAGTTCTCTTCTATTTTAAAGTTTCGTTATCTAACTACATATTCCATGAACATACCTTGCAGGTCGATGGCACTGCGTGGAGTGCGCGATCTGCAAGTCGTGCGGCGCGCGCGAGCCCGGCGGGCTGGCCGGTGCGGCGGGCGCGGCGGGCGCGGGCGCGGCGGAGTGGCACCACCAGACGCGGCGCGGGCCCGGCGGGCACAAGCTGTACTCGCACTCGCTGTGCACGCCCTGCGCCAGGTCTGCATCTTGTCTATGACTACACGCGTCCATTTGTGCTTAGTTTGACGGTTAGGGTTGTCACTTGTCACTATCTATACAGAAATAAAATTAAAGTGTCTGTTTGTAATGTCAAAATAACAGCGTTTTACTAAATGCATATGAAATTATATGAGGTACTTATAAGTAAAACACAATTTTTAAAATTTTTGTCTGTCTATCTGTCTGTTTGTTTGTTCCGGCTAATCTCCGAAACGGCTAGGCCTATGCAGATAGTTGATGTTATAAGGAGTAACTTCGTCTACTTTTATTTCAGAAAAAGAATTAGGGTTCCGCTCAAAAAAATTAGAATATACCGAGTCGTTAGTAGTTATATAATATTACATATGTGTCTTACCCTCGCTGATTAATGACACTTTAGTGAAAAAAAATGATAGGGTTGTCACTTGTTACTATAGTTTTATATGTACGCCTTACCCTCGTTGGTTGATAGGGTTGTCATTTATACAGGGTTATATACATATTACTTACCTTACCGCCCTTAGATAGAGTCGATTTAATTCAGATGTATAATCATACCAGTAAATTATTTTAAATGTTTATAAATAAATAGCCTAGATAATCCTTCTTTCTTCTTCTTCTTCTCCCTGCCCATTTCCCAATCACTTGGGGTCGGCGCAGTACTTCTTCCGTACTGCTGATAGGATTTGGCAAAAGTTTTACGACCGGCCGCCTGCCTGACGTCAACCCTCCTTGGGAATGCTAATGTTTATCTTGTAATATGATGCACTTTCGATTTTGTTGTCTTTTAAGACTTTTTTTATACCATTACTTAAAGTTTAATGTTATTTTCGGATATATTTTAAAATAAAAATTTTAATCATACTATAAATTTTGTTTTGACGTTGTCAATTTTTTTTTTATTTATAATCCTTCTTTCTATTGGTAAAAATTTGAACAGTAGTTTCTGAGATTAGCCTGAATAAAAAAACTCGAGTTTCTGTGTATATGTAGTGATTGTGTATATATATATATATATATTATGTCAACATTCAACAACAATTTTAAGTTGAATGTTCATGTCAGTCACCATATTAGTTAACATTGTAAACATACACAATTATATAGTGAAATAAAACCAAGGTTTTATTAATAATTGATAGTTACATTTTTTCTCAATTATTTTGATACCTTCGAGTATTCATGAATATAATATATCCGACCTGTAAGTATTAAATATAGATATCGTCAAATATACTGGGTTATAAATGGACGCGTGTACTAAATAGAATATAGTTGTTAAAATTATTTTTGTATGAAGTTTTGTGTCAGTAAATTATAAAAAATGGCGTCACTGCCGTTAGCATCGAAGTAAATTTATCATTTTTCAACGTTTATGACTTCGACACAAACCGTCATATGACATTATTAGCCATATATTAAGTGAAATAAAATTAACTAAAATATATATTTATTGTCTATGTATGTCAAAGAACAAAGAGGAAAGTGAGAAACTGATTTTTCATAATTTTACACTTAATTAATGACTAAACGAATATATAACAGAATTAGTTTGTTATAAATTAAATAACAGAGTCCAGATATATAATTGCCTCTTAATGTCGCAATGAACATAATTTTCCTTTTAACCTTTTAGTATGTATATTTTTGTTAGTTTAAATATTTACAATGAAAGCCAGAGGGTTACCAATTATTGTCCTTTAAAATTGAAATCGTTAAACTTTAAATAACAAATGTTTTATTGTTGAATTAAACTAGTTAAATGTATATATAGCATAGTAGAACCTGAATGTATACAATGGAAACACTTAACATAATATCTCGATTATGTTCAAAATGACGTATTAACCGTACGATCGATATTGAACTAAAAACTGCTTCGGTTCTGGTTCTACTAATATCTAAATAAACACTTTAGAGCACGTAAATATATTTTAAATTACCTAAACTTGTGACGAGATAATGATGTTACTCAAAGTGAACTCGATATTGTTTTTCAAGTAAAAGCAAGAGGGGCTACAACAAAACGTGAACCAATAGTTGCGTAAACATCAAGGGATGTGTAGCGCGGACGCAGACGAAAAGTACTAAGATTTTTTACAAAGTTTCGATGATTTATGTGTATGGGCCGGCTCGCGCAGGATATGCTCACGCGTGGGCGACGCTTTTAGTAGCCATTTGTTTTTTAAACAATCGAGATGATATCGATACTCGACTTAATCGATTCTATTTAAATTTATTAATTGATATTATTTAACAAAAAAATATGATTAACTTTACATTTAATTTAAAAAACGACTGAAATAGTAAATAAAAAATATATTACGTTTTATATAATATATTTAATTAAAGATGAATTTAGTGTATATTTTTAATATGATGGTCCGAGTGTAATGTCAGCGAGAGGTCCTGCGCTAGCCGGGCTGTAATTTGTTAACTGGTCTTGGTAGACATTGTGTACTCACGTCATCCCATGCGTGTTCAATGTTGACTAACACAAGCTCACCCCTCTCACTTTCGGAATCCGCTTTGTCTCTGGTATATTGTAGCATTTTTGACCCCGCATAATGTTCTTTACGACCCCCAAGCGTTATTCAGCACATATTCCCTACTACCAAATTCTTCTAAATAACGTTTGAAGTAATTCTGTCTGTTGTAATTGTGTACTTTATTTGTTTTTTTATTCTATGAAAATTTACTTGTATCATCTTATTTAGCAGAATTTGGTGTTTATGATAAGTTGCATGCTCCACATCTCTTCATACAAGTTATTTCAATTAAGTAACGGAGGTTGTTTGTTTTTTCTCTATTTACTTTCTTATTATAGACTATTTGTAAAGGCGCTTCGGTTACGAGTAATTTTTGGCAAACAATCTTTGTAGGTCAGTAAAGCGGGTAAAAATGTTATGGGATTCAAAGATTTTTATTTTAAATATACTAAAATTATTTTTTCTAAGTTATATTTTCTATAAATTAAATAAAAATGTTACAAAATATAATACATTTATTTATCAAATTTGCCTAAAAAATTATATAAACTTATTTTTATACCTAACTTTACTGTCCGCTCTCATTTTTTATAATTATTGGTTATTTGATATCGATTCTTTTGTATGTAATTGATGCAACGAGCAATTTTTATTATTCAAATTATTTTACTTTATCGTGTTAGATTGAAAGTGTTGCTTCAATTAATTCCATCATGGCTATGGATGTCGACATGTTATCAGCCGTTGTAATTGAGACTAACTTCATTCCATACTTTGTTGTACTAACTCGGGCGTAATACCAATATCATGTTAAAGCGTTAACTAACTGACTTTGTTACTTGTTTTGTGGCTCTTTTTAAAAGTATCAAATATTATTTTATTTTTCTTTATTTATTCCAAATTATCTATTTCACTAAATAAACTTTCGACTGAATGTTTCGGTTCGTAAATAATTTTTCTGTCCTACAATTTCTTTTGTGCTAAGAATAATCTATATACTTTATGTATTTAACCTTCGCGGGTCGTGTTTTTTACTCCAGCACGTTTATGTTATTTCCACATTCAAATTTCCCATTACTTTTTGTTTACCCATAGGTAAAGTAATCCAAACAAATATTACTACTTACATACAAAGCGAGCCAATGATAAGTAACAAAGTGTAAACCGAGCCCCCGGCGAGGCCTCGATTGATACTAATGGCGTGTTTCTGTGTTCCGGTGCTTGTGCGCGTACGGTCCGTATGTGTGTGTGCGTGCGTAGGGCGTATCGCATCGGTCGCTACTGCCCGCTGTGCGATCGCTCCTTCATCGGGCCCAAGGGGACAATGCAGCTCGTCATTTGTAAGCTCTGCGATAGGCAACTGCATCAAGGTACGTCATCGTAGCGCGCACCCCCCACTCCCGTCTTCCCCAAACACCTCCCGCTCCCCAACAGCAGCTCCTCCACCCGGCTCCCCCACCTCCCCGCACAACCCTGCGCCGGGTTCCCAACGCATTGCACGTTGCGTATACGTTCCGTTTGCGGGATCAGTTAAACCGAATATTTAGTATTTCGTGTGCCCCGACAATATTCAGTTTATACTGAACCGAACAAACGCACGCTCCATTGGTCTGTGGACCGGCTCTTATAATTCACGGGGCTGGATGTAATAGATCGTGAGAACTTTCGTTCTTTGAGTGTTGTCATGTCGTTCCAATAAATTACAATGTGGATGTCGATGTTAATAGTATTAATAAATTGTTTAGAAACAGTCATTCTCTTCCATTATGTCCAGCTTCTGGTATTTATTTCTATACGCTTATTGTCTTTGAACTGCCATAAGGATATAATTTTGAGTCCGATGGGTAGAAAATTGTAACCTTATGACTGTACGCTTTACGCTTCTATTAATATCTCGAAATGCATGGATACATTATTTCATTACAATTTTCAATATGTTGTTATGTACTTTTATATTATACGCCCTTTTTTCAAATCGCTTTTTAACTCTTGATGTCAATATTTCATTATAAACCACTAAGTCTGACCTAAAGAAGTGTACACACATGAAATAGGAAGCTTTAAGTCTTGTGTTAGATGTGTTTAGAATGGACGTATAGGTGACAGCATGTTGTGTTAAACAGCAAAATTATATAATCTGCCTCGTTAGACGATAGCTGACTACTTGAATCGCAATTAGACATTAGAGGGGCTCGAACCTCTAATGAAGGATTTATATAGAAATGCATATACATATTTGTGTGCAATAGAATCTAATACCCTATCGACACTCTGAGATAATGGCGGCTCACAGCTTTGGTCATTATAATGTTTGGTGAGTGTCGGCACAGTCTATAAATCCATACAGTGGTCTAACGAAGGCGTCTAAACACTAGAAGTTCATCGACCGTGACGAGTGAGATGAGACTCTGATGAGATTCTCTCGACTGCCATACTTATATATGACATTTGAGAAACGGCTTTATTGTTTACCTTAATCCTTAATTTGTGTCTCGTGACAACATAGAAATTAATATTTTTATCAATTTTTACATTTCGGCTTAAATCTATCGGCGATAGTCTACTGTATGGACGTATATACTGCGTCGTCGGTCCGGAGCCGCCAGAATCCCACGTGTACAGTGTGCGTGTGTGTGTGCGCAGAGTGCGTTAGGCAGACGGGCGCCAGCGTGCGCGTGCTGGACCACACGTGCGGCGAGTGCCGGCGCGGCGGCATCACGTCGCGCGCGGCCGCCGTGCGCCTCGCGCCGCGCACCATCGCCACGCTGTTCATGGCCAAGCGCCGCTTCAACAAGTACGCGCACCGCCAGTACCTGCAGAGCCGACGCCGCGACTACGACCTCGTCGACGACGACCTCGTGTAACATACGTACATACATACATATATGTCTAGCTCTTACTAGCTCATAGTCTATCTTATTCGCTTCGTACGGTTGTTACTTGTAAGGTTTACCTAAACGAACTGTTGCATAAATCTGATTAATATAACGATTAACGTAGTGAGTATGTAAGTATAGCGGGGAGGTAGTGTACATAACTGATACTAACTTCACTGGGTAGCTGGGCAATCATACTATTTTAATATTAATGTTTTTTTAAACGACGACACGTGTGTGCGTCGTTTAAGTTGGAGTGCGCGCAGTGTTGCTTCGTTGCGGACGTCGACGGAGAGAGCGTCCGGGAATTATGTATGTCTTAAGTAGTGTCTCGAAACAAGAATAAACTGTATATTATAATATCTGCCTTTCAATGCATTTGGAATGCAAATTCTATTAGTGATCGAAAGTCGGCACATCGTTCTAAAAAGTTTTTGATAAGAAGACAGTGCGCATTTTCTCTTCGATTCTAGGTTAATTTTAGATTTTATTGTTAATTTCGCTTAATAAGGTATTTATTTTAGTTATACTTTTATATGGATACAACTGTATACAACTTATACCCGATTATAATCATTATTCATATATATGTATTATTATACATTATATTCGAGGAGAGACGGGAATATATTGAATTTGAATCAGTTGATAGTGACTGTGATGTCCGAAATGAATTTACTTATGAAAAAATTATACAGAATTTATCCGATTCCCAAAAACAAGAGTTAATTTACTGTTTAACATTGTTGATTATAACTATGTTACTAGATTGTTAGGTTTGTTTAGTTTAATTATATGAGTGGAATCAGCAGCTCTTCTTCCAAGTGACAATTTATTTTAACTCACTTAAGACAAAATGCTAGTTGCACACAAAAATATAGGTACTATTGTGGTTTTGGTGTTATTGATTTTGGAAATTTTAATGGTTAACACAGAACCTATTTAAACTACTAAATCGCTTATCATTGTTTTTTATATTCAAATAGCCGCTGTGAACTAGCATTTTGACTTAATTACAAAGTACAAAACATAGGCTACCTTTATCTTCTCATTTATTAACATTCGCCCGGGGAATTGTATGAGCCGAATCACTGAATATATTATAAAATAAATTATATAGATTATAGTATGATTATTTTCATTATTGTGGAGAAATTATTTATTCGAACCATCGATATAGTATGAAATATAGATGAATTCGGCATCAATAATTTCTCGGGCGATGCTCAACATAAATGGAGACGACTACAGTTATCTGGAACAATGTCCTGTGAAACGGTGCATTGTGATAATATACGTAAGGGTTGCTTCTTATCAAAACTACGCGGCCGACCGTCGAGCGTGGACTCGCATGTGTTTACTGAGAATTGTGTAAAAAATAGAAAGAATGTCCCAATGTAACCTATTATTGAGTAAAAGTTATTTTTTAGCCTAATCGATTGTTTTATATAGTGTTAAAGCCGAACCGTGATAATATGAAGAGACGCTAGCAGCGCGAGTGGTCGCAGGTGGTCGCGGGTGGTCGTGTACTTAGACTCACCGCTGAGTGCAATCTTTCCCCCAATTCGTTGTGTATTATACCTTGTATTAGAAGTGTATTTGGTGACTTGACTAATACTGATTAAGTGTATGTATCGAGTTTAGTTTATAATTATGCTTTCTTTATTATTAATCATAATTTACTTAGTGACGATTTTTAAGATATAATTATGTGAACCGATCGTTTGATAGAATCATGTAACGTTTCGTGCGAAGCGCGGCCGCGGCCGACTCGCAGCGCTTTACGACACAGGTGAATAAGACTTACTTGTAAGAGAAATAATTATAACTTTTATGTCTACTTAATGCAAGTGTAAACGTTCTAGAAATCTCGCACTGTTCGGTCAATTTTGTAAAAAAATAAAGTAAATTTAATTTGACCCCCCGTTTTTTATTGTCAGTTGTATTGAATTAAACTCATTTTGCAATAAAAATAATTTATATAATTCGACTTAAAATATTGGTAAACTCGGTAGCATAGTTAACAAAATTTTATAAACACTGAAAAATATTCAGCAAATATATTTTTAAAACGGCAATAAAGCATCTGCATTCTTATTTCATGAGTTGGGTACCTGCAACAAGGAAATAGTTCTGTGAGCATATTACGTTTTGATCAAATATAATTTTCAATATAATAATGTACATAAAAATATGATAAGTTTTGTGTAGTTTATTTATAATTTGTAGATATAAAAAATGTAAGCCTTTCATTGAAATCTGATCATAACTTTATAAAATATTATTATTAAAAGTAATATGCCGTTTAATATATTAAAAATATTTTTTAGAAAGATTGGATAAATTTTATCTATATTTGTATATAGCTAATCCTGATAATTGTTAATTTGATTTTGCTAATGCATCTTCAAAATATCAAAATATATAATTATCTCTAGTAAATTATATTTATGCGTCTGTTCACGTCATACTTTATATCTATACTAATATTATAAAGAGGTAAAGCTTGTGAGATTGTAGGTGGTAATCTCTGGATCTACTGAACCGATTTAGATGAAATTTGGTAAGAAGATAGTTTGAATAGAATAGATGGTAGAATGTCACAAATTTTATTTCTTTTTTTGTTTTTTACTGGTAACGAAACTTATGTCTATAGTATTTGCAATCCCAACCACTGGTTTTTACAAATACTCAACGATATCGCCAAAATATGTTTTTATTTATGCCCAAAGCGAAAAGAATTTGGAATGTCCATGACATACCAGTAAAGGAGGATATTGTCCAAAAATCTACATAGTAAAAAGTTACTGCATACTTTGATCTCAATAAAAATATTATACTATTAAACTTTAAAATGCTTTTTTCTCATAATCTATTCATTAGGAAATTCGCTGTTTTTTGCCTTTACCCTTCATATTGCCTATTCATTAAAAAAAAGAAGAATTAATATCGGTTCTAAATAGGCTACGTACAGCCATACAAAAGTAAACGCGGAAGGGTTATCCAGGGCTGCCAGATCGTATAATTGGATACGAAAATTGTAAAATATGCTTATTATATGTATATTTCATTTTAAGTTATTATGTATTTTTATTGAATTTTTTTATTCTTCACAGACTATTTCTCAACAGTTTTGTTAATTTGTATAATAAAATTTGATTTGGTATAAGTGACCCACAGCTGTATAAAATAAGTTGGCTCTACTAGCAGCAGTTGTCTCTACTGGCAGCCCTGTGGTTATTACAAGTAATACTAAGCGCCAGTGACGGAGTATGTGCGTGTAGTTACCGTGTCCGCCGTCACTCCTGCAAGCGCAGGCCGCTGATGGAGAGGAAGGTGAAGGCGTTGTGCAGCGCGACGGCCGGCACCGCGCACAGCGCCGCGCGCGCGCCCAGCCGCGCCGCCGCCGCGCGCGCCGCCGCCGTCAACTGCGCGGGCGGCGGCGCGCCCCACACCTGCGCAACCGAATATGTCTTTAGGGTGTTTATGTTGTTTTCTAAATTTTATCCAAATCTGTTTAATTGTTTCAAAGTGAAAAAGTAACAAACATACACATATAAACTTTCACATTTTTAATAAAAGTTGGATGATTTGTTGTCAATGAAAAATAAAATCCCATCAAAAACATAAATGTGAAAGTGGGAGCCAAGTTCAATATTAAGAATATGCGTAGTTGTCAACTTCATGGACAAAAGAATACAGATCTAAATGGGTGCCAAGTTCTGTAGATAAAAATATTTTTTTTTTCATAAGAACATATAGCATTCTAAAATAAATTTAAAACACAATTTCTTGTTATTTTTTCTGCTACAAAAGTGTTTGCTATTTAAAATTAGAACTTAAATTTAAACAGTCAAATTATTTACATAGAGTAGATAACTTAGGATAAAATGAAGATCAAGATTTGAGTTGGCTAGTTTTTACCAGTAAAGAAAGTTTTTAGAAGAGCGAGACATGAAAAGAAAAAAAAGAAAAAACACATGTAGCCTAGTAAAACACCCGTTAAGTTATGATCAATTTGAAATTCCCCATTGAAAAAAGTATAGGTATAAAAATCGTACCTGATAAAACACCCGCATGTACACCATGGGGCTCGGCTCGGCGCAGTCGTTGAGCAGCTTGCGCAGCGCGTACTCGAACACCGCCTCGAGGTGGTCGCGCGACGCCAGCGCGCGGGCGCGGTGCCGCGCGCACGCCGCCGCGTCCGGGAACGACGCGGCCGACGTCGATGGGGAGGAACCTGGACGAAACGTCATATTATACATACCTTTGTATATATGTATAACAATAATAACAATTGTTTCTTAACCTAACATTTATATTATTTCCGCTTTGAGTCTGGTCCGAAAATCTATTCAAATTAACAGTGAATATAAACATGGAAACATTCATTGTTTCAACTATATAGCATTACGTAATTTATGTTAAAAGAGAAATAAGTATATGAAGGACGTTTTGCGATAACCAGTACCTACTGGATTTACAAGTGTAAGGGCCCTGGAGTATTTAGAAAAAAGAACAGACAACACGACCTAAAAATGTATTTAGCAAAAGCCAAGTTTAAGGACAATTCTCTTGTTGATGGCTTCAAAAGATGCTAGTTGAGCACAAACTACTTTGCCAATGTGGAAAATTTATAATTTTTTTATTACTTGTTTTTTTACATCTCTTTATAATTTTTTTTTATTAAAACTACTAAATTGAAATAATGAAGCTAGCTAAGCATGATTACACATACATGAATTGAATCAAATAGTTAATTTATGATATCAATGTGCATAGCTTTTAATAAACTTATTTAAAATAAGAAAAAAATGATCTCGTATTAAAAATAATACATAATGAAAAGTTAGAAATAAGTAACACTCAAACTCTAATAATGTATTTTTCTTACCTGTAGCGACGTAGCATACGATAGCAGCTACAGTATTCTCGTAGTTCCACCTCCTAGTGATGGCCACTTTGTAGTCGCCAACGTTACAGCCAGTCTCCTCATCTGTTCAAATAATGGACACCTCGTTAAGATGATGTATTTAACATCCAAATCTTATTTTTGTCTATTGGCTAATTCACATGTCATTCAGGATTACCTAGACATGTTTTAATGGGATTTTGTAATTAAACAGATAAGAATAAACAGTCTAATTTAAACCAGTTGAGTAGATTTAAGACAATAAATTAAAGAAATAGAAACAAGAAAGCATATTGCTTTACTTGTTTCTTGCAGGTAAATTGCAGATGATGATGAGATGTGTAATAGAATGCCTTCTATGCAAGGTAGCTATTATACTAATAATATTATGATTTTGTATAATATCTCTTGAACAGATTATAAATTTCAGTAAGATAGGTGTACCGAAGTGGGCTAATTATATATTACTGGTGTAAATCTGTTTACTACTATTACTAATTATCCAGCGGCTAGTGTCCCAAGTCGGGCCAAATTTAGGTATTTAGTCTTTCTGTTAAGAAAGTTTAGTAAGTCTGGATATGGTGATGTTAAACCCCCGTACGTTGAAGAGCACATGTCTGGTCGTGCCTGTTTCTGATTTCTCATTGGTCGTGGTGTATTGTCAATTCAGATTATGAGAGTGAAAAAGAGTGTATATTGTTTGCATGCATATTTGTATAATATCTAATATTATAATATCTCCCGCGCTGTCTCAGCAAGGCTGGCTTCGTCGAAATCAATCGGGAGGTCATGATCATCGCTGCTATTACCACTACGGTATGTACTGTATTCCCCGAATGAACCAAGCACTGAGATTTTGTACTCCGCGTGTTTAGTTGCAGATAAGATGCTTAGGCAACGATTACGATTAAAATGCAAGTCATAATTAGTCCGTCGTTGCATTCCGTACCGTTCAGACGTCTCTCGTGTAGTTACCTGATTTATTTTCAATGTAGGAGATGACAGTGATACGTTGGAAAGCGAAAATTAATAAATAATATATACAAATATATAAAAATACAGTTAATTTTACTTTAATGTTGATTTTATTTTATTATATATTAATAATAATTCCTGAACGAGCCGATTTGATTGCCGAGACGATTCCAAACCAGTTGAAAGTGTTAGTGGGCGCAGCTAGACAGTTTTCTGTCCTTATCAGTTTGTAAGGTAATTTGGGACAGAGTAAGCGCTTTGCATGGTTCACTCCTTGACGTAAGTACTAACAATCGAAGCGGTTGTTGTCGGTGTGCGCCCAGGCGTGCCACTCGACGGCGGCGCCGCGCGGCAGCGCCTGCACAACGGCGCACTGCACGATGGCGCCCGCCGTGCGCCGCTCCAGCTGCCGCCGCGCCTCGCGCGCCGCGCCCGCCGACGTCACGTAGCACACGCTCTGACACACGCGACACACATTATGGTATCTGCCCACTACACCGTCTCATACCATAACCATGCTAGGGCCCGTGTCAGGCAAAAAAATATTCTTTGTATTGTAAAGTATGAGACTCTGCCCACTCCGACCGTTCCGTCACCGACCGGCACTGTCGCGTGCCGTTCACGGAGCATATCGGCACCGGCAAAATATTCTCGCCGACGATTATTGTTACCGTAATTTTTGCGATACGTTCTAGTGGGCATAGTAGTCCGTCCCATACTCGTTTCCGTGCCTGATACGTACATAGCACGGTCATGGTATGATACGGTGTAGTGGGCCTCCTTTATACAGCCTACTCGGACTATGGATACTTACGGAATTATTCATATTTTAAAATGTTTTTATAATTGTATTATTATTTTTAAATTTGAAAACAAAAGATACAAAAACAAATATATTTATTTTTAATTGGACTCATCAATATAAATAAAATAAGCCCAAACTCTTAAAGTTTTAGTAATAATTGTTAATCATTAAAAACTTCATCTTCTAACTCCCTTATCCAATCAACTCGTTCTCAAATAATTTTACTGTTATTAGAATTTCACTTCCCAGATCATAAGAAGACTTAAACAAGATGTCCTTTTACAATCGTTGAAAAATGGAAATATTAAAAAACTTGGAAATGACAGTAGCACCATAATTCCGATTAAATTTATTTTTAAAACACGTTTTAATTTTGTAATCAAAGATCGTAGAATAACATTAAAAGGCGTAAAATCATTTGTCTACGTTATTATAGATTTACACAAGGGGTACCCGGGGCTACTGCCCAGGGTGGCAAATTTTTAGGGGTGCCAAAATTTGGAGGGTTGGTAAAAAAAATTTCTTCGCGTTATTGAGTATGCTTATTTTACAAAAAATGAAAAATATAAAAGTTTAACTATAGGCTGATTTTTAATTCGACGGAATTCTGACATTTCAGAAGTGTTGTCAACTTTGAAACATTGTCACTAAAAACGGAAAGCATTTTAGCAAAATATAAAAATAAAACTTTCTTAAAGTTAAGGTTTCAATTAGAAAAACTAAGACTTAAAAAATTATTGATAACTCTAAAATAGTATTTTTTTTATTATCATATTATTGAAGTTACAATAATTATTAAGGATCATTATCATCCATAGGTTGCAAGCCTTTTTTAGTAAAACTCCTTTGTTTGTAAAATATTTTGTTTTACTCTGTTTTATTCATTTAACCATTTAAAGTTTACATTATAGTTAGCGCGCATTGATTGCACAAAATAAAGACTATTTACAATGTCATACATGTATAGTTTACTTGATCTAATTCTGTTTCATATTTTTTGTTATTTTATATTAAAAAAATACAAAGCAGAAAAGGTTTATGATATCTGAATTGTCAAATAATGATAGCTGTCATATTTCCGTGGAATTAAAAATCAGATTTTAACAGGTACATTTTTCGGAAAAATTGATATCATTTATAAATTATTTCTTTGAATTAAAAAAAAATAATAATTAAAAAAATTTAAACTTTCGACATTTTATGCAAAATTTCGATAATAGGACGGCATTTTTTACTTTGTCCTGAGGCGCTAAGGTTTAATCCGGCACGGTGTGTAGTGTGTACCTGCACGACGCTGCGTATGTGCGCGCGCGGGCTGGCGGCGCGCAGCACGCGCGTGAGGTGGCGCAGCGCCAGCGCACACTGCGTGCGCGCGCCGCCCGCCGCCAGCCGCATGCAGCCCGGCACCAGCGCGATCTGCCCGCACGTGCCCACCACCTCGCCCACCTGCGCGCCGAGTGCCAAGGGGACCTCATTTATATTCTGTTCTATATTCCAATCTCACTACTGAATACACCTGTCGTTTTTTATATATTATTCTGTTTTTAAATCTCAGTACTGAATGATGTTTCATTTTTTTTTAAAAACATTAAATTTTTAGCTGAACGTAAATAATGGTATTTTTTTAAATATCACTTTTTTTTGTAAATCGTTTAAGTTAGGTAACGATTAATTTGATTAATGTGACTTTAAAATTTATAAATGTTTTGTATTTTATCATATCTTGAAAAAAGAAAGAAATGTTTGAGTATATGATCTACATTTTAATGTGCTATAAAGATTATTTAACTTTTTGACGTAAGAATCTTCTCCATTACAACGTTATCCATTGTAAGTACTCATATTATGAACATTAGTATGTACATAAGTTTCATGCAATTTGAGACAAGCGACTTCCAATACTACCGTTACTTCAATCAAAGCTTAAAATTATATATTACATTAATATTATTACAAAATCAAATGTAAAAGCAAACAAAAAATTTAACATGAATATGAGCTCTTTGATCCATTTATAAAATAACATCAGAGTAAAAGTGAACCTTAATGGCCTGGCTATAAGGGCCAATATTGGCTGGCGCCCAGTGCGAGATGCCCTGCACGTGCATCGTCACGCGCTCCTTGCACACGCCGTCGCAGTCCTGGTTCATGTTGCTTGATTTGTATGCAACCTTTTAAAAAATTTAATAATTTTTATTACATTTAATGATATTTAATATTTTTAATTTACATAATATTATCATATGTGTATTATTTTTAATTTACATAATATTATCATATGTGTATCCAGTGGTACCTCAATTTATGTTAATTTCTATAAAAATGAAACTTTAGCAGTCGTTGTATGCATAGTTTTATTTAGGAATTCAAGATCTTTAACTAAAATGTTATATAAAACTTATAAAAAACGAGTGTTAAGAAAAATATTACTTAAAAGATAAATGATTCTTCACATCCCTCACTAATTAGTTAAGAGTTACAGTATATTTAAGAACTAAACCAAAAATCGCAGATATTGTCTGCGAATAGTGCAATAATTTGAAATTTGTATAAGATTACCTTGCACATATAACTTTTCATTCATGCAAAAGGTTTAACCTTTAATACTTAACTAAGATATCTTGTAACATGCACATATAAAACATCCAAATTGAGTATTCCTCCTTTTAGATGTCTGTTAAAAACTCCAATGAAACTTACCGCATCCATTATAAGTCCAACGTTCTTCGGCAGCGGGCACTGAACACACACCCTAGTGGGTGGGTTGGTGAAGGAGAAAGTTTGCACATACACTTCATTAAGCATTGCATACTCCTCCATATCCCTCATGTATATATTCACTGAACACACGTCCGGGAGAACCAGACCTTCTGACTCCAGTAGATCTGTAACGGTCATTGTTTATCTATATAGTAAAGAATTAAGTTTTAAAAAAGAAAATATCTTTTAAATTAGCTCTTTATAGGAATATATAAGAATCCATCCATACTAATATTATAAATGAGAAAGTTTGTGAGGATGGATGGATGTTTGTTACTTTTTCATGCCATATCGGCTGAACGAATCTGGATGAAATTTGGCACAGAGATAGATTAGTCTGGAATAGCACATAGGTAACTTTTTATCCCAAAAAATGTCTGTTTCAAATGGGATACATGTATAAACATATGTATCAATTATTATCATTATCGTCATTTATAATTAACATTTCCTTCCAATTATTCATTACAAAATGACATTTGTTATCCCACGTGAATAAAAAATAAAGGGTTTTAAATGTCTAACACAAATTTAATAACTAAATAGTATTCCTAGATATTAGCATTTCTGAAGACATAAATGTATCATGTACCTCATAAAGTATTATTTCTGCCGTTATTTTGTAATGAAAATTTTCCTCAAGAGATTCTTAGTATTATAATTTTGTTCCATGACATATAAGTTGAAACAATAGTGGAACATTTTGTAAATAAATTAATGTAAAGTATATTACTATTTATCTTTGATTTAAAACAAGCAACTTTACAGTATTTCTTGAATAACTATTGACACATTCATAATAATAGACAAACAAATTAATACTTCAAAATTAAAACACATCATCCTCACATCCTTTGAACGAGTCTAACAAATGTACCAATTTTTGCCGAATTTCCCGTTTTAAATAATAATAATAAGAAACTTGAGAATAAATAACGCATTATGCAAAAATGTCTTTTTTTAGATTTAATTAAAATTAAAGCACTGTTCCACACTTTTTTGGCACAAATGCTATTTCCCTACAATCAATGTCAATTTGTTTTTAATATACATCTTTAAATACAAACACACATGCACTATCAAAAAGGCTCTTGAACAAGTTTACCTACTAATGAGTTTCTTCATAGCGTCCTCCGTCGATATCTTCGTATCGACCCCTCCACCCACAATCCCACCAATGAAATACCAGCCATGTCTATTCCCGTATATTGACCTGTGGTCTAAAACGGGATGCATATCATCTGGGTCCATTTCATCGTAATAGTATCCATCTTCGGATACTTCTAATTCGTTTGTATCTGCTGTATCTAAGCTAGCATTGTCACCGGAGTAAGTGAGCAATGGGTTCAGTTCGTTTTGCTTTATTATCTCTTCCTTTTCTAACTTTTCGATCGACTCCAACTCGGTTTCACTTAATTCTAAATCACTAACGTCGCTAAACACAGTATCGTTCAAATCTTTTATAAAATCTAATGAGTTTTTCACAGTTGGAGGTAGCTTGAGTATACCGTCGTAGTTTTCTTTAGGTTCTATATGTAATTTTAAATTCAAATATCCGACAGACGCGACCGGGTCTTCGGAGTGTATCACCAATTCTTTTTCATCTCTGTTGGCAATGTTATAGGAATGATAAATGTGAATGTAATTCTATTGTTAACTTTGACATTAATAAAGGTATTTGGAAAGTTTTTATGTTTTTATTTAAACATGCAGCCTAAATAAAATTCGTTAACTTCCTTAAGTTTAAAGTAGCCAAGCCTACTATTCTTAAGATTTTTTCTGCTTGATGGCATCATGTGCAATGTACATATTGTCAAGCTTTTGTGTACTATGTCCCCAACTATAAGGTTATAATATAGGGAAGGTATAAAAAACACATCATTTTGAAGTTTCAAAATTGAGATCAAATTTTTTTGAATGTACTTAAAACTTTTGAACTCCTTTGAAATATTGATCACATTTTTATAGGTGCCGAATGTGTATATAATTTAATTGTCATGTTTACCAGCAAAGTAATTAGACATATGAAAAAGCAATGTGATAATATTCTGTATTAACGATAATAAATTACATTTTAAATATTACTAAAAAAAAATTAAAATGCATGTTAAGGTTGAAAATTCGATATAGAAACGAAAATATTATCAAGTAAAATATATTTCATTTATGCTGTTGGGTGATTCAATTATTTGTATAGCATAAAAAAATTAGTAAATGAGAAAAAAATCTCAACTGGTAGGCTTTGAAGTGATTAACAAGAGAATTCAATTGAAATGAAAAAAAAAACAAATTACTTACATAACTAATTTCTTTCTAAACAATGGACAGTCGAGGGTAAATGTCTCATACTCGCCGCCTTCACCGCACACATTCAAACCATACTTTTCCTGCATCACTAGAAGATGAGGCTGAATTTCCTTGATAGTCAATCCAAGGTGTATTTTTGGGTCAAGGCCTAGTGCTGCCACCTGTTTCATTAAGCAACACGGTAACATGTATATCTTTAGCTGGATTTTTATTGGTATTAAGTACTTTATTATCTATTTATTGGCTAAATGTCATCAACTCAGACCTGTTCCATTCAACGCACAATTACTTACCTTAATTATCTAATAATCAACCTAAAATCAAATCAAAAATCATTTATTGATGTAATTATAATCAACCTAAAATCAAATCAAAAATCATTTATTGATGTAATCAGGACGATTTCTTATCAATGTCAATAACTTATAACTAATTTTATACATGTCATAATAAACTAAATAATAAAATTAAATTATTAATAATTAATATCAGTTCCATGCCTTTTTATCAATTAAATATTCATTATGTTGTAATACAATTTGGATATAAGTTCACTTATGACAAATGTTTTAATTCACAGATAATTTTTCTGGCATTGTGTGGTAATTTATTATAAAACCTTACAGAATTACATACTAATGAATTGTTCACCTTACGGAGCCTAGTAGTGGGCACTCCAAATTTATATTTATTTCTAGTATTCAGGTTACGAAAATCACAGTTTTTCTTAAATTGAGCAATATTTTATACTAATAACCCTACTTAATAAATCCCACTCTGTTCAAATTGTTGTCAAGTAGGTATGTAGCAAATATAATATGTATGGCATAATCTTAAAGTAAAACAAATTGATTATTAAAATGTTTTGAACAACTTTGTTAGTTAAGTTAATAGAGAGATTATGCCTTTTTAATATGTTTCTTAATTGTGTCTTTTAAAATGTATTTTTGTTAATTAAGACTGAAAATAATAAGTTGTTTTAAAGACTTCATTTTTAGTTACACAAAGAAAAACAACTAATAACCTTGTGGATTTTGTTACATAGTATATTTTGTTTCTCTGATTTTATGCATGTTCGTTTTTTAAGCTGTTGAATCTCAACATTCTCAAAAACCAATTTACGAAGAGTTTAAGATAGTTATTATTATTAATGTACCTTAAAATTCTAGCATCAAGCATGTAGTAAAATTCGTTTTTAACTGACGAAAAAAAAGAAGAAGTTCTCAATTTGACACATTTTTTTAAATGTTTGACTATGCATAGCTTTTTAAAGTATATTCCAATTTGGATGATTCTTTTTTATTGGATAGGGTTATACCTCAAAGTTTTTCACCTACTGAATTTTTAAAATACATTCTTCTTACTATGTCTACACTAAAAATTGAAAAATAAAAACTAAAAAAAAACAGATGAAGAACACCAAAAAGTAAAAAACAACTGATTGGTAGTTTTTATTTACTATAAATACCTAGTCAGATATTTTCGAAGTCTGTGCCTGCTAATACAAATTAAATCACACCAACTTTTTAGTTTTTTTAAGTGCAGTTTTTGATAGTTAATGTCAATATAGAGAAACAACAGAAATTTATTGGGTGATTTCAAGTTTAGATATTGGATATCAAGTTCAGACATTAAAATGTGATTTACTAAAAATTCATAATATAAGTAAAGAGAAATTAGTATCAGTCACAACACAAACGGAAAATAACAGTTCATTTATGAAACATCTTTTCACATGTGTTAATAACTAACATTATTTTATATTCATCATAATATAGACATTGTGTTTGTCACAGTTGCTTATCTTAATTACAAATATTTATATGTGTATAATAGAAGAAAATTAATATGTCAGTAATAAACACTCCACTGGTATGTAAAGTATAAGCAAATAAAAAGTGTATGCACCAAGAAATAGAAAAAAATATAAAAATAAAAATTTCAAAAAACTAAAAACATATAATTATTATATTAGCATTTATAAGTTAGTTTTCAAGAAATCAGAAATATTAATTATATTATACCTTTATAATAATAGCATCAACACCACTAGCAATCATTTCCTGTAATAGCTCCTTTTGGTTCCTTCGCCAAAGGTATGCAAGAGACACTAAACCAAGTCTTTGACATCTGAAGACAATTTTTTATATTAAAAATAATGTAATATGGAGTTAATAGAAAAAAATATTATTAATTACTCAGCAGTAAGCTATTCTAATAAAAAGTGTATTTGAATTTTAAAAATAATACATAATTAGAAGACTTACACATTCTCAACTCTGATTCTTTGGTAATCTGATAATATAGCTCCACATGCAACAGCTTCTATATCTAATTCATTCTGAAACAAATCAAAACATAAAATATAAGTAGAAATTATCAAGAATCAACAATAAAAAAATAAAAATATTAATTAGAAAAACAATGTTTATTGAAACTTTTACCTTCACTTTTGACAAAAGCCTATACAAGTCTTCTACTTCATCATTTTCTGTAGGGTTATAGTTTCGACCTTGGTTAATAGCAACTCCACATATCTTTTCCCTATACAAAGGGAGACCCATTGCCTCTGCATACAGATCAATTCCTTGGTGTCCAACTGTTTGATACATGTAACTGTCCAATTCATCTAAAATAATTGATATTTTACTTTTAATAACATTTGCATATAGAAGTACAGTCTTCAGAATATAAATTAAAAAAATCTTTAAAAATAATGAGTAAACAATGCAAGAAATAAAATTATTAGCATTATTCTAACAGTCTTTATCAACTTAAGCTAGATTTAGAAGATAGATCAACTTAAGCTATATTGTGCACTAATGAAATTTGAGATATATGTATCTAAATCGGTATATATGACAATAGTAACCTTTATGTATTGGTTGGAGGTTGGCCAGGGCCACGATCGTGTGCCCGGCGCCGACGCACTGCATCATGTTGTAACAGCTGTCCTTCCCTCCGCTTATCAACGCGACCGCCCTCATCCTTGCTAACGTACAATATCACGAATAACAAACTTACATTAATTACATAACAATCATAATAACTATTTGTGCAAAAACAATATGACTATTTTACAATGCGGTATCCCTCACAACAGCACCATTTCTTTAGTTAATAATTATTTAGTCTCCTACGTTCGCCCACTTTACACTAAGCCTGTAAGGAAACTAAATTGCAGCATTGTCATTATCTAAATTAAGATAACATTATTTAATTAGAAGGAAATAAGAAAAAAATTACAGTTTCAGGTGCAATGAAATGTCATATCTGTCACTGCTGTCGTGCTCGTAACGTAAACCATGATCTTTTTGTAAGCGTTCAGAAATTGACGTTAAGAATTTAAAAATGTATATTGACACAGATTTAATTATTTTCTATTATGTTCTATTTCTGAGAATTTTTGTTTAAATAAATGTGTAACTAGTTTAATATATATTAGCCCGAGAACTCGTGATAAATTTTGGGAAGGTCCTTTTGGCAAGTTGAAATTGTGAAAAAATATAATTTCGTGTATTGGCAAGTTCAGTCCCGCGAGTCTGGTAAAGCTTTAGCGGTTATTTCGTTACTGCGCAGTAATAGATAACTTCGAGCTTAAAGACGCGAGGAATTCTTACAAAAGTCACTTAATCTTTATATTCTATACTAGCGACTCACCCTCGCTTCGTTCGGGTTCGCCTTCGGAACAACAAAAACAAATCTATCCCACGGGAATCATACATTTTTCCGGAATAAAAAATGCGTATGTGTTATTCTGATGTATAAGCTATATTGTAAAATTTCATTAAAATCCATTCACTAGTTTTTGCGTGAAAGAAAAAAACAAACATTCATATATACATCCAGGTACACATCCTCACAAACTTTCGTATTTATAATATTAGTAGGATTAAAAAGCTTTGAATTTTTAAGGATGGTGAGGTAAAATATGAAATAAAAGATTACATTTTATAAAGAAAGTGAAAGATAAAAAGTATTTTAACAAATTTCTTATTCGCAGACTTTATTTAAAGTAAGAAGGGTTTCATACCATTATCTATAAAAATAGCCAAAAAATCACGTTTGTTGTATGGGGGCCCCCTTAAATATTTATTTTATTCTATTTTTTTGTATTTGTTGTTATAGTGGCAACAGAAATACATCATCTGTGAAAATTTCAACTGTTTAACTATCACATCATTCATTCATCGGTTCATGAGATACAGCCTGGTCCCAGACGGATAGAGAGACGGATGGACAGCGGAATCTTAGTAATAGGGTCCCGTCTTATCCTTTGGGTACGGAACCCTAATAAACTACTCTAACTGTTGTGAACGCAGATCCCGAACCATATTCGAAACGTGCGGTTTCTCGATAATCAATCACAACGCGAGGACCTTGGGCCCCCATCAGCTGCTGGCATACCTCGATAAGCTATCTTTCTCGCACCTATGGCTACGCATAAGACTTTTTTGTAGTACTAATTTGTAAACTTTATTTACGTCTGGGAATGGTTTATAACCCGTAAATTCGTCTGGCGATTTGCAAGTATTATTAAAAATTACTCAATAAATAGGTGATTACAATTTCAGATTGCCAAACGTATATTTTTTCGGAATTTTAATAAAGCATCTTTGGAGAGGTCTGGCAATACTTTATAACCGACAAAAACATCTGGGGTTCTTTTTTTTTTGAATTATATGAAAACTAAATTAAAAGATCAAACAAAAATCAAGTTGCCAAAAATATGTTTTTTTTTGAGATTTTTTTTGCAAATGTTATATATATAGCTATACCAGACTCGCGGGACTGGACTTGCCAATTCACGAAATTATATTTTTTCACAATTTCAACTTGCCAAAAGGACCTTCCCGAAATTCGTCGCCAGCTCTCGGAATATATTGTGTGACATAGTTTTATATTCTCTTCATTGTGAGCTTGTTTGTGGTTGTTGTTGTTGTTGTACTGAAAAAGTTGACATTAAGTCAACTTTTTTTGTTGACCATGGCCATGAACGAATTAGCCACTAATTCGTTCATGGCAGAACTAAATTTTATAGAACTATATAATACTTCGAGCAATAACAAGCATACGACTAAATTTTGTAAATATCAACTCATTTTTTTTAAATTATAATTTTAACTAATGAATAAACAAGATTAGACTAAGAATGAATATAATTTCTATCTGTAATTACCTTAAAATCATTTTTTTCAGAAAAAATCAATAAAACCAACTCCAAAATCGATCAAAAATTAATAAAATATTGATGAATTCGAAGAAATAATAACATAAATAGATTCTACGGCAAAAAAAATACAAAAGCTATAGCATACTTTACGTGAATTCCAATTTATAATATTTTTTCACGACTCGTTGAATTGCAAAGTTGGAATGTTTACGGCGACATTGTATAAATAATAAGCGTCCAATTAAAAACGTAAGGCCACCATTTTTTAGTTTTTTTCCCGAAAAATACATTGGTGTTATCAGTTTATAAAAATTTGGTCAATACTCTACACTTCTTCAATGATAATTGAAAAAAATGTAGTTTACAAAGTAAAATTATCGATTTCTCCGATTTTTAAAATTTTAAGGATATTTTGACAGGACAACTACTTACTTATATAATGTTTTTATTTTTTCAAAAAGTAGAGTTCAAGACGAAAATAATGAGTCTTATGTGAAAATTGAACGATTTTTTTTAAATGTAAACGTCCACTTGAAGATGGGGGTGATTTTTAGCCTCTCGACACCATAAAACATATTTTTTTCAGAAATGGTTAAACATTTCAATTTCAATTTTTTAAATTTGTTATATGTATTTCGAAGATTACATTTCCATAGTTTCATTAAAATCAAAAGATTATTTTAGAAATTAAAAATGAAAAACCGTAAAGAAGTTAAAAACAGAGTTTTCTGCAAATATCTCAAAAACTTTGAGCTTATTGTATAAAGTGTTAGTTATAAAAATTGTATATTTTTACTAGACCTACAACTTTTGTAGAAAACATTTTTCGATAGAACGTCACAGTAAGCCAGAAATAGAAAAAAAAAACTATTTTTCAACGCTTTGCGTCCCCTCATTTCTCGGGGGTAGTTGGGCATCGGGGGCATTTTAGGAATTTCTATTTCTTATATACCTGCTTAGATTTTGGTGGTGTAGTGGCTAGCATGTACGGTTGCACACCCGGAGGTCCTGGGTTCGAGTCCCGGGTCGGGCCAAGTTTAGTTATTGAGTCTTCCTGTATAGTAAGTCTCAGTAACAGCCCGGAGTTGGGAAGTTGGCGGTGTTTCATCCCCGTGCCTCGGAGAGCACGTAAAGCCGTCGGTCCTGCGCCTTAACTCTCACCGGTCGTGTCGAGTGGTCGTCCCACCGGAGTATGAGAGTGATAGGAATAGAGAGTGCACTTGTGTCTGCGCGTACACTTGAGCACTATAATATCTCCTGCGCAGTTGGCTAATCTCATTGAGATTGGCCGCCGTGGCCGGAATCGGCTAGGAGAACATCATCAAGATTTTAAAATCATAAAACCTCAGGTTATCAATAAAAATTTTCCTATTAAAAATAAACGGATTCCGATTGGTCTATAAGTATAATAATATTACATACTTTAACTTGTAAGCTGTATTATCGTTTCTACGATAACGACGATTAACTTAGCGAAAAAAAGAATTTCCTCACCAGTCAAATGCTACGGTGACTCCACTTTTATAGCTCCCGACCGACCAAATATATGAAATGGACTATTTTGAGATACCGGATATTCGTCAATCAGAATCAGCTTATATGCTAGGCGTCTATTAAAGTATTATTTAGTTTCATATCCCGTTTAGGTTACATACTAGTGATTTACCCACGCTTGTATCGTGTGTGTCCCTAGATGCGTTTTAATTTTTTTGAGTGGTACCATAATTCTTCTGCTCAATAAAAGTAGCCTAAGTTACTCCTTATAACATCAGCTATCTGCTAGAGCAAGTCTCTTCAAAAAGGAAGAAGTACAATTTCATTAATTTTGCAGGAGAGCTTAAATAATAAATATGGAGCTGTAAGTGAATTTATGTTTTTATTATATTTATATAAATTATTTATTTATTATTTTATTTATCAACTCTAATTTTATGCACAATAAAAACTTTTTAACAAAAAAATAAAAACCGACTTCAAACAAAAGCACTAAAAAGTAAAAAATAACTGATTGGTAGTTTTCATTTACTATACATACCTAATCAAATATTTTCGAAGTCGGTGTGCTTTGCTTTGTATGGGCTGGCACCGATTTCGAAAATATTTGATTAGGTATGTATTTAATAGGTAGGCTTTAATTACTTAGCCAAGGAGGTTCTCAATTCGACTGTATTTTTTTTTATGTTTGTTACCTCAGAACTCCGTCATTTATTAACCAATTTGGACAATTTTTGTGGTGTTTGAAAGTGTATACTTCCAGATTGGTCCCATTTAAATTTCAAAAGAAAAAATACCATCCCTAAGGGTGGAAAAATAGCTAATGATGAATTTAACCTACTTCTAATTGGCATATTGACTTGAAACTTCGCAAGTGTTTCTATTTCCGTTGATAGTACAGTGGTTCGGTATTGTTGACCTGATCTGATGGTAAGGTCAGAAGGTGGATAGGTGGAACTCTTCAACGGCTAATAGTAGATACTTTGAGTTTGGGCTTATTTTGTTTGATTTGACAAGCCTAACACGTTAGAATTTTTTCTTTGCTACTACTGTCTACACTAAAAAGGGAAAAATAAAAAGTTTTTAACAAAAAAATAAAAACCGACTTCAAACAAAAGCACTAAAAATAAAAAATAACTGATTGGTAGTTTTCATTTACTATACATACCTAATCAAATATTTTAGAAGTCGGTGTGCTTTGCTTTGTATGGGCTGGCACCGATTTCGAAAAAAATTAATTAGGTAAGTATTTAATAGGTAGGCTTTAATTACTTAGCCAAAGCACACCGACTTCGAAAATATTTGATTAGGTATGTATAG